CAGCACAAGCACTGGCAGTATTCTCAGTGACAGATCAACTGTGGGATGCAATAGTCCCAAAATTAGGACTGCAGAAGCTGGGTCACCTGTCTGTATCAGGTTTTGTAAATAACGGAGGAAGATAGGAGGAAAACAAAACTTTATGAAGGTAACCAAATGCTTGTTAATGAACACTTAAAAAATGAAAACTTACATACAGTTGTGTAATTGAAATAGAAATGTATGCTGTAAAAAGCTAAACAATCATTCTTGTCCCCCACTCACCCCCACCTTCCAGCTCTTTTCTTAAAGAATCTGTATTTTTTTTCTCTGAAGCCCTATTAGGTATACATATTTATCAGACATCCAAGAAAACTGTGATTCTTTAACGCAGCCAGCACACAAAATAATGAAAAAGAAAAAAAAAACCTTAAGTTTTTTGTACTGGTGTAATATCTCTGTAACATTTGATCTGTATCTGCACTAAAGGTAGGTGTAGAACATCACCCTGAAGGTATCTCTTGCTGTCAGTGGATCATGAATGTCAGCTTTGACAGGTATCCTCTGGTGATGTTATAAAGCATATGTGGCTTATTTTAAGCAAAGCTGCCCATACTTTTGTCTTGTCGGAATATTCCTGCTTTCTCCCTAGTGTCTGTCACTTTTTTTTGTCATCCTTAAGCTGAGAAGTATCTTGTAAAATCTTGTTAGCTGGCTTTAACTGTTTTTCCTCATGCTAACTTCTAAAACCCATTACATCTGCCTTAAAAGATAAATGATATTTTTACCGATACTGTAGCAGAAATAACTTTTTTTTTTTTTGTGATTTGGTGTTCATAAATTCCAGTTATTGCAAACTTTGCACTTCGGGTGCTGTGCATCTTCTATACTTTTAAGCCCCAAATCTTGCAAAGACTGCCCGTGACATGTTCTGTGACTTCCTATGGAACTATTTAATTGCCAAGCTTAAACACGTGCTTCGGTTCTTGCAGGGTCCATGTCCAGCTCTCTTTTCAGAAGCTTGCTGGTAGGGATGCTTGCCAGCACTCGGGGATCCCTGAGAGGGAGAGGAAGAGCTGGTATTTTTGCTTGCTTCCATCTGCCAGCTTTCCATCTCCCATACAAAACAAGCAACTAACATGCTATTGATGATATGTTGAGGGGAAAAAAAACAGATAAATAAATAGAATCCGAAGAGTCCACTAAGTGGATTCCATTGATGTTTTGTCATTCAATATGTAAATAATGCCAGGAAGACTTGCACTGTCACATAACCATAAGTGCATTCACTTGACCGTGGAGTGTCTTGTCTAGGTAGTTACGCTACGTCTTGCCAAAATCTTCCATACAAAAAAAATGAATGAAAGTGTCAGTGTTAGTTGCGGTTTGCATTTGACTGAATTTTTTTTTTTTAATGGGACAGCTTCTCTCATAATTATATAATTGAATGTGAATATATCAACAACTATGACAGAAACGCCCATGGAGTGTGGGGGTAGTAATATGGAAGACAAAGCAATCCAAAGGAAAATGAAGTTCATCACACTATGTCAGCATCTTTTTTTTTAACAGGAAAAGTCCCATGTGATGTAACAGAGAATTAGAATATTTTTCATTATGCCAAGCCTCCATTTGACTGACAGAGGCATCAGCAGAAAGCCAACATCAAAAACGTCTGCACCTGAAATGCAGGTCAAAACTTATGAGAACTTGAATAATCAAAAATGAGGAAAAAGGATTTGGAAACATGGAAGTAATAAATAATAGGGGCTGAAATACTTTATCTGTTCATGTTATGAATGGCCCCCTATTTTATAGGGAAGAAGAGATGGCATAGAGGATAGACTGTATAGTTTGACATACTTAAGGAGCGGAAGGCTTCCAGGCCATGCTGTAAAAGTAGTTTGAAGCCAGTCTGCAGTCAGTCCTTCCATCAGTGGGGTTAAATCGGGAGCATTTTTCTTGTTGACTGTTGCAGAGATTCACTCCGAATTGGAAGCAAAGAGCGACTGTGTGTCTTTCTGTAGCAAACGGTGTCTGTATAACAGCCAGGCTCTGACTTACTCTGTGTCTTGGATCTCCTAAATGCTTGTTCAGCTGGTAGGGTGACGACCCATCTTGCTAAAAAGCCTCTTTATAGTAGAATGGGTGCTTCAGGGTGACGACTAGGGTAAAACGGCTCACAGTTTAAGAAAACAACCTAATGAACATCACTTGAATTCCCGGAGCTGAACATACATTTCTGTTTCAGCACTAATGTGCAGTGAGCTTTGGTTAATTTATTTTAGGGGAAACTGGGTGTTCAGTACCTAGCCTTCGCACATGGAAAATAAAAATTATTTGTGAGCTGGGCGGTAGTAAAGAGACATCACATGCTGAGAGCCCCTTCAGGATTTGCAAGGTGGCCGGTGCCTAGGGTCTGTGCTGCCTTGCTGAGCTCCGCATAGAGCATAGGCAGGGCCTCAGGGGTGATGGAGCACACGTGTAAAATACACCGTGGGATCGCTTAAGTCCTGTGAAGTTTTGTCTTCCTCATCTTTGGAAGGGCAGCAGGCAGAGAGGCGCCAGCTTAAAGGCGCTGCTGCTGTTGAAATAGCACTGAGACTTCAGCTGAGCTTTGTAAAGGAGGATTGTGAAGCACTCTTCACACGTTAATTTAGTTTCGCAGTAACAAGCTAGAAGGCTACCAGTAATACTCATCTTACTTAGGACCGGCTGTAGGGAGAAACTATATGATTAGCTTGCCTAGGTAAGTCAGCAGTAAGGGCTAACAAACTCCAAGACTTAACGAATCTCTGTTACCCACAGGAGCTGAAGTTCCTGCTGGAACAGTAACTGGGCTACTTTGTTGATTTGTGTCTGAAAATACCCTAAACAAAAGCAAATGGCAGTTCAGCACTTTAGGAAGAGAGACAGATGGGGAGCACAGTGCAGTGTGGTACATGACAGAGGTCACGGTGGGACAGAAACAATATCAAACTTGCATTTTGTCATACTGGATTGTGGCTTTGTTTTCCACACGTTAATGTTCTTTTAACGCCAAAGTTGTTTGTTTCTGTGTATTTGGATCCGCTTTGCAAGTCATGGACAAAGATTTGGGGGAAATGGTCTGTGATTATGTGCCATATAATACTCACTGAAAAGACAGGAGCTGGTTACAGAAAATGAACAGAGGAGCGAGTGCCATGAAATTGAAGTTTAAATGTGCTCCAGGTGGAAGCAGCGTTATGGGGACAGTAAAAAGCAGCTTAATGGCAAGCTGCTACGAAGTTACAGGGCATCCTTAACTGGTGGGGGCCAGGTACTGCTTATGAGCAGGGAAGAACTAACAAAATCTCAAACGCATCAAGAAAAATGTCATTTTAAAATGTAGGTTAAAATTTCTGAACCCGCTTCCTTCAGGGTTCAGTTGTTTCCTCCAGCAAGCAGTGCCTGAAGGTCCTTCAGCTTTCTGCGCTGTTGGTGTCTGTGGGGGAAGCAGCTGCTTATGCACGTTTCTGGTGCAGACAAGGGTGTATTGCCAAAATGACAATGAGTTAACCAACAAGAAACACGCATGGAAGAGATCGGCCAAAACCAGAATTAGTGATCACTAAATGGGTGGGATACATAGGAGCATGGCCGGAGCTGTACAGACTGTACCTGTGTGAGATGGTTCTGGTGAGACATTTCACCCTAGTGGTGGCACCAGGGCTCGGGCAACCGGTGTAAGTACAGGCATCGCAGCCTTCCCTTCTGCCGCTGTAGGTTGAAACATTAGCACTCTAGCTTGCATCTTCCAGAAAGCATCATCCTAAAATGCGATGTGGCCTTGCAGTTACAAGGCTTGATCTCTTTTTGTGCCCCTCTCCTGAGAGTCAACAACAGAGCTGCTTCTGGCTTTGCCTAGGGAACCAGGACTCAGCCCAGCTTCTTTATCCTGCTCGCGAGAAGCCCCTATGAGACTTCACCAATTTTTTGTCAGCTTTTTAAAGATCTAGTTGGCTGACCACTCTGCAGGTTCAGTTTGTTTTGATGTTTGCATTGTTTTCTTGGAAAGCCAGCCATGCACCTGTCGGGATTATCATTGACATTACACAGTGTAAATAGAAGGCTACCAGGGACCAGTGCCGGCAGCGCTTGCTTCCCGTGGGCTTCGGTACTCGGATGTGGTGTGCTGGTTTTATTTATTTATATATTTACTTGCCCCTTGCTTGGGTAGCAGATCTCTTAAGCCACCCCTTAAATTAGTAGTTAGCATGTGTTAAGCATGTATTTTTACTGAGGGGTAGTGCTGAGGTATTTTTTAGATGAGGACACACACGCAAGATAGGCGTGTAAGTATTATTTAGCTACTGCATGCACTTGGTTCAGCGGATGGTTTGTTATGTTTCCTGGGGGGGGGGGGGCTCTTGTTGATGAGTACTTTGGAAGTGTCAGGGTAACTGCTTCTGGTTGTTTGCTTCAAATGTGTGTATTAAAATTCACTTCTCTTAGGCAGGGAGTCAGATTTCCCTATTGCACCTTTTAATGGCACTTGGGAAATCCTAGCTCATAGTGTCATGGGGTTCTGCATCAACATTGCTAAATATAAGTGCATGATTAACAGATGAGTGGCTGGCGATACGTTCCACTGCTAAAAAGAAGGATATCCTGACGTTTTCAGTGACAAAATATGAAAAACTACAGTGGACACAGGTGTGAGAGAGCTGTGGAGTCCCTCTCACTTGACCAGTGGGGGCTTTTCTGCTATCCTTCAGACAGGAGTACACTCGAGAGCTGGACTGGCTAGTGTTCTTGCTTTGCGCTCTTAAATTGTATAGTGCTCGTTAATCTGGGCATTAGGTAGAAATGTTAAGGTTAGAAAAGATACTCAGTTCTGTTGTGGATAACTGGAATAAACCTCTATCTGTTACCTTGCCAAAAACTTCTGAGAGTCTTGCATTAGTGCCCCATGTATTTGTCACTGGTTTAAGTATCTATATGATGGTCATTTATGCTTAAGGGTTTGTTGTGAATTTACAACTATTTTTGCATGACAGGTCACAGTAATGAAAGGCAGTAGTAGGAATAAGGATCATTCGACAGAAGGAGAAGGAACTGGGAAGCGACCAAAAAGAAAGTGTCTTCAGTGGCATCCCCTGCTTGCCAAGAAACTCCTTGACTTCTCTGAAGAGGAGGAGGAAGAGGAGGAAGAGGAAGATATTGATAAGGTAGACTTCAATGGATGCTTTGACCATAGAAGGTTAATGGTGGGTTGTGTTTTTGTTTTGTTTGCTTCTTGCCATTCTCTTTTATGAACAAACTTGGCCAATTAAAAGAAGTGATGCGGTGCCCATAAGGCTATAAAGGCAAGCAGCAAATAACACAAAAAAAGTGAATTGTCAATCATGCTTCTAAAATCCTGGACAAAACTCTCCTTTTTTAGAGTTAGACTGTAAGAGTTTTAACTGTGTTGTTTTAATAACATCTTGCTCAAGGTGGGGTTTTGACGTGGTTTTCTTAATTGTCTGCTTTAGACATGAAGTTGGTCTGTGCTTGATATCTGCTTCTAGTGGTCCTGAGGACATACCAAGCTAGTAGTTTTCCTCCTTTTTTTAAAGATTAAAAAATTGCAAAGATCAAAAGGGAAAAAGAAGGAAAAAGCTGTTAACACTTTGCGTGTGAAATTCAACTTATCCTCCAGAATATTGTGAGCATGGGTGGAATAATCTGCCTGATTTAATGCGTGGCATTTTGGTTTTGTTCAATGATGCTGGCCTTACCCTTTTTTCATAAGGATCCCACCATGTAGTACCTCACAAATGTACAGTTAGACTCTTCCTCTGCAACAAGAAGTGGGAATGGGTTGTGGAGATATGATGTTTCCATCATGTGGATAACATTCATATCTACATCTCCTTGATTCCTTCCTAAGGCAGGAAGGGAGAGGTCAGTGCTGAGGAGACTGCCTTGAGCCACATACTGATAAGGAGGAGTGACCTTGACGAGGATAAGGAGCAGCAAGGAGGAGCCTGATACTCTGACAGTGCTTTCTGTTGACCTTGCAGATCACTTTCACAATGTGGTATAAAACAGCAGTGTTGCAGTTAGGTAGGAGATGGTTTTCTGTCTCATACAGCAATTGGTTTCATCAGCCAGAACTAGTCTTCTGTGGTGCGTCCCTTGTTTGGAATGATACACTGGCCTGTAAGCGGAGAGAAAATATTTTGGCAGTGTATTCTGTTGAGATTTGCCCTCTGGCTCTGACTGGGCAGCTGTGCAGTGGCTGTGCTGCAGCACAGCTCACAGGCTGAGCAATGAATGGCAGGAGATGGGGAAAAAACTGTTACCGATGCACCTTCCTTCCTACGCACACTGTAGTTGCAAACACAAGTGAGTGGCTCTGCTCACCTCATCCCACCGAGATGATTTCTAGGTTGTAGGAAGGATCTCCTCCCTCCAGTCCCTTTAGAACTGTTACTGGAGAATGGTCCTCAGCTTAGACATCTGCTCCACTTGCAAGTCGGAGTTTGTCTTGCAGAGAGCATGAATGAACCTTGGACCATCAGGTGAGGAGGGTTGATGTCAAACTCTGGGTCTTCTAGACGGAACGGATGGCCTTTGGAGACAGCTGCGTGTATCCCTGTGCATCTCCCTCATTCACACACAGCATACCGACTCTCAGTCTCCATGAGAAGCGTGGATAACTGAGTTTACACCCCTTCCCTTTTGGTTCTGGTAGGTGCCGCTCCTTGGCGCTGACGGTTTAGAGCAGGATGCTGATGAAACCGAAGATGACGAGTCCTCAGAGCAACGAGCTCGCCGACCAATGAATGCATTTCTCTTATTCTGCAAACGCCATCGCTCTCTCGTGCGAAAAGAACACCCTCGCCTCGATAATCGTGGCGCAACCAAGATCTTGGCAGATTGGTGGGCTGTTCTAGATCCAAAAGAAAAGCAGAAATACACTGACATGGCCAAGGAGGTATGTTCCATCTTGAATGGTGGATGTAAAGGGAGTTCTTCATCACATATTTGTCTGTCTTCTGTTTCTCAGTGTATTAAAAGTTTTCTGTGTCATCTTTCTCTACAAGTGTTAACACGTGGATAGTGTGTGGACAGTGGCCATTGAAAACAATAGCATACAGTTAAGTGTCCGCTGACTACCGATACTTAGCTTGAGTTGTGCACTTGCTATTGATAATACAGGTTGCTATTATAATACAGGTGGACCAAACCAAAAGCATAGTCAACAAATGCAGACCCTTTTTACCTTTGATACTAATGAATTTTAAAACTATTAGTGTTTCATTAAGTATTTATGTATTGTTAACCAGTTTCTGATAGAGCAACCTTTGGTGAAGCAGAGTCCAATACCTGAATCAGAGAGCAATACATAGTCAGGGTCCTTTAACTGGGAGCAAGGAAGAGAGATTTGACAAAGTATACTTACATCAACTTAAATTTAAATGAGGCTTTTTAAGAAATAGCTTGCTTGGTAAGCTGGCCCCAAGAAGGGTGCAGGTATCAGATTATCAACAGCAGAGTGAAAGAGACATAGCCAGTTACTGAGGCTGATAACATCACCCCAAACCAGATCCCTGTAATTACCTGTGTGATGTAGAGTGGAGGTAACCATTGGATGCAATCTTAGAAAAAATCAAGGAAGGCCAGTGAGAAGGAAGGGCATCTCTGTCATTTGTCAAGTAATGCTAGCACGCTGCAAGCAGTACAGAGAACTGAAACGTTTGGGGAAACTATTGCCTGTACCCGCCCTGTCACCTGAAGTTGTCTGCTACTGTTAACACACGTATATAAGGTCAGGCTGTTCAGTGCTTTGTGTGAGCATGGAAGGGTCCACAGGAAGAACAGAGCATTCTACATGGCAGGTCCTTTTTGAAGCAGGGTCTGTAGTTCCCCGTCAGTGACACAGTGTTGAAATACTTGAGTCTCAGTTTGCCCAGCCATGCCTGATTTGTTCTGCACTCCCACTTACAAATTAGTGATGGTTCTTGAAATGTGTGGGAAAAGGGCAATTGGGAGATCCAGTACAGATACAAAGGAAGGAAAGATGAAAATGAAGAAATGATTTTTGGAAGAAACAAACCTGATGTGACTGTTTTTCTTAGCCTTTTGTCTTGCTCAAGGAAACTCATTCATTAAGTAGGAAAATAATTGCAGAACTTCTGTATGAAATGACAGATCTGAAACTATTAATCATGTTGTTGTAGAAATCATTGTTCCTGTAGTGATTTACTTACTTTTTTTGGCATGAAGAACAAATTGCATATTCGATGTCAAAGTGAAACAATAAATCTAAGTAGTTTACATCATTACAACTAGTTCCAAGAAATGTGTAGAAGAGAGATAGCGTATAATTTTTATTCTTTAAATAGTTGTATGTTGCAACAATAATTAGCAGCTGTAATGTGCTACTGAATATATTTGGGCCTTCTTCACCAACAGGCCTATTCTGTCTGTGTGGATCAGTCGTTTTGTTTTAACACTTGCTTTTGTAGTTAGGCTTACTGCTGAGACTGTCAAAAAGATGTTAATGTCAACTTTCCTGCAAACCATTTATTGGTATTTTTCCTAAGGAGAGCTCATTTAAAAGTCAAGAAGGTGAATGCCTTTGGAAGGACATAAAATTACCGTTGTACCAATGACCTTCTGTTTGAATACCTGTATGTATAAGCTCATTGAGGCTTAAAATACAGTGGATGAGCTTCTGTTAACTGAAAGGTAGCTTTTTGGCTGCAAGCTGAAGGCTATGAGTCCTTTGACTTCCCGTTTTCCCCGCATAGCCTCTAGCCGCTGCCCTGGCAAGGCACTCATCTCCCAAAGGACCCCTGTGTCATATCCACTGCCCCTACAACGTGTCTCGTGTACCCTGAGCATCTGAGTCGCTCTTCCAGAGATACGAATGGGCCTGACAGAAGTGGTCCCTGCTGCAGTGGCTACAACCTCTGTTGTTTTACAGTCTCGAGAATGTTTTTACTACTTGAAGCCAAGGTTTGCAAAGCTGGTTACCTCAGGTCAAGCTTCAAGCAAGCAGCTTTCAGTTTCTCATCTGCTTAGTACCAGCAACTGATACTATCTCAGCAGTGTCCAAATCAAGGCACTGTATATGTACTTATACATATCTAGCTATATACAAAATCTGGGATTTTGGAAGATAGTGAGGCACCCGAACATTTTCTTGAGTGGAATTAGGAGAATTTTTCTATTTGGTTGGTCATCTATCTGTGATTCCCACTGAGAGGATAATTTGGCCTATGGTTCATTTAGGCACTTTGGAAAATCCTATTATGTACCGGTCCGTACCTTGGGGTGCCTTAATTTCCTAGAAAAACTGTCCCCGTGATCTCTCTATTTTCAGTCTTGTGGTTTATGGTCTCTTGTAGCAACACCTGCCCTGGAGACCTCATGCTGTGCCTGCAGAGCTCCGTGTCAGCTTCTGCTGGTGTTTTCTTTAGGAGCAGGGCTTTCTATTTGTATCCTACAGCCTTTGTACATCAACTTAACTTCGAAAGTTTAATTCTAGAGGATTTAAGCTCAGTAGCTGAGAAATACTCCCAAGGGGAACCGCAAGCGTTCCTGCTGTTTGTTAGCATTTGCCTTCATTGAGGGGAAAATGAATTCTGGCCGCTCATAAATGTGGTCCGGTGTGTTTAGTTACTACAATAATAGGGGTAGTGTTCTTCTGTTAACTCTTACTGGACTTACTGGGAATATTCAGCTGCCTTGGAGAATATCCAGCGAGATGATTATCTTTCAAGCCCTGTTTCCCTTGCTGGAAAACACTTCATTTTTAAATATGTCTTTGCATTGGCCAGATCCAGGCAGTCAGGATTGTTTCTTGCAGGGAGCAGCCTGATAAATCCAGGCTGCTGCCATTGAGTGGGGGAGCTGAACTCTTCTCCCCGCAAGCACTTGGCCAGTCCTATGGTCAGCCGACTGCAGGTACCGGCTGGGAGCTCACTGTCCGTGCTGTGCCGCTGCTCTGCTGCGTTGGCAGCCGCCTCGGGGTAGGAGGGGACGAATGTTCTGGCTTCCCGGCTGGAGTCTGGCAAGTTCACTGGGTGACGTATGGACCGTGACATGTAATGTGACCCTTGTGCCCCTCAGGAGTGAAAAACGGAGTATAGTATTTTCTGGGGATGTTTTTTTTTTGGTTTTTTTTTTTTTTTTTTTTGTAAATCTCTGGGATTCATGTGAAGTTCAGTGGGCAGTTGGTGGGATTGAAGCATACATTTAAAGTTAAGCATGTGCTAACTGCTACCATGAGGTGTAGCTGGAATCCACCTGTGAGCTCCTGTTCCCACCACACTGGAGAAAGCAAATCTTTTTTTTATTTTTTTATTTTATTTTATTTTTTTTTTATTTGGTGATAAAGCAACTCAGGGAGTTGCACTAGAGTGCAGCACCTTTTTTAACCTCAGCTCTAAAGTGATAACCCATCCCACCGCGTAATGCATCCTTCCCTAAGCTGTCACAAAATAGAAATGATAATCAGACTGATCCCACAAACGTATCCTGTGGGTTTTTTTAATCTTACCTGGAACTTCGGGACATGACCCTGCCAGGCCATCCCTGCCACTCGTGTGTGGGACCCAAGGCAGTGTCTTTGCATTCCGGGTTAAGAACTTACCGTTTTGGGTTTTTTTCCCAAGCAACTTTTAGGGATGTCTTATGTCCTTAGACTGGCTGTGTTAAGTTGGTTTACTGTACAGTTGGTTGAATGGAGGAAAACAGTAAGCTCTACTATTGCCTTTGGCATTTTCTCTTTACTGTGTAGCTCATTTAAGTTATCTTCTCATGACCTGGCAAGCAGAATCTATCACTTCATTTTATGCATCAGCCTAATAGTCACAAAAATCAATACTGAAAGTCTTCCCAAGATTGGAATTGGGCCCCTGCATGCATTTTATAAAAATACTTCTTGGGCATTGTTTAACTTTTTACATTTTCATTTATCTTTAGTGTTGAAGCTATGAAAGGGGCCAGTGAGTTGTTCTTCCTCAGTTTGCTACCTCCCCTCTGGAATGTGTAGTTAATGTTCACTTCTTGGCTTTGCAGAAGAAAAAAATCCATTAATACACCACCTCGCTTGAATTGCTCTTGTTGGAAACTGATTAAAAGCTTACTGCTGCCTCCTCTTGCAAATGGCATGCGTTCTGGTTCTTATTTGATGGGCAGCCTGTCGGCTTGTCAAATTACAGAATAATTCAATTACTCAAAGCAGCAATGCCGATATGAAGAGCTTATGTACCTCATTGCCAGCGCTTCTGTGCTTTTCACTCTGCAGGCTGGAAACAGGATTTGTGAGTGGGCTGTGGCTTTAACAATGGGAGGCAAAGCTGCTTCTCTATTTCCTTTCCGCCTCTTCCCTTACCCCCTCCCCTTCCCTTCCCTCCACCAGGCTATTTTTTGTCATGTACCGAGCTCCCAAACCAAACTGAGGGAAAAGGGGCGAGGTGAGAGGTGTTGCAGTCCTTAGTTTGTAGGTTTAATACATACACCCTGTTCAGAAAATACAGTGTGTATGTGGGTCAGCGGTCCCTGCAGATTTTTATTATTTATAGTAATTTCTATAAATACAGGACTTCACGCAGCGGGTTCACACAGTATTGTGCTTCTTGTAAACTGAATTGGTTTTATCCTTGCTACAGTCTGGAGGCAGCGAATGCCAGCTGATAGATTAAGATGGAAATGAAAGTAAGCCGTACACATGCGATAGTGATCCTGCCACGAGGCATGCCACTTATTGATCTGGGAAAACGCTGCAGCGACTCTTATCAGAGGACAAGGTTTTCAGTGCTATTTCTGTATTTGATACCCAAGGGATTTCCCCCCCACACACCCCGTGCGGGCATGTGCATGACACCTAGGTGCTTCTCTGTGCCGTAGCTGGGGCTGATGACAGCTGGGTGGGTGGGAACATGTGTAATCACAGAAGAAACTTCCTGCAGCTGCCCTACCGTGTACTTCAGGATAAAACCGCTCCCTGCAGCCAGCACTGGTATTTAACTGGGTAGGCTCCCACAGCAGCCAGTGCTGTACACCCCTATCAGTTGTTAGGCAAACATTTGCAGCTGGAATGCGTGGCATGTTCCTCTGATTTGCCCGTTCTCCACCTTGCATAGCAACACATCTAAAAGACTGAAATGTGCTCTTTTTTTGCTACGTTCAAAAAATCTTGTTTTGGTCTGGTCAGCAAGATACCTGGAAATCGTCACGGTTGCATTTTGTGAATAAAATAGGTCCCCATCTTTCCCCCTACCCTCCAAACTGCATAGGATCCAGACCTTTTCCCCACACACCCCGTGTGTAGTCTGGCTTGGTTCGTTTTGCTGCCTTACACCGAGAATATAGCAAACAACTGAGATGTGTGCTGTGTGCTCAAGGCCAAAGTGGTCCCAGTTTATTTTATGCAGCCATGCAGCGTGGTACATTTGGAAGGAACGCTGGGGTCATGTATCAGAAGTTAATGAAAATGAGATGATACTGGTGGTGGTTTATTTTCGGTGCCTGGTTTGGGAAAGCATGTAGTCAAATATTCTGAAATACAGAACTATTAGAGAAAAATGAGTGCAAGGTAAGGAGCATCATGCTGCATTTATGGCTGAATGTATGTTTTTGTTTCATTCAAAGTAGAAAGTAAACAAAGATTGTACCTACAAAAGAATTCAAATAGCTGTCTCTGTTTCCCAGAGAGTGAGCGTGCAAGTATCGGGGAGCAGTTTGCAGGATCAGAATTTCAGCCTACTCCGGGGGATAAACCCTCAGGAGAGGAAAGAGAAACCCCAAGTTTTTAAATACAGCTCTACTTCTCTAAATACTTCTTCTTTTGTGTTGGCGGTCAGACTCTAAGCATGTGATTAAACTGTTAAAACACAAGATATTTAAAGATTATTTACTGTATTAAATCATCTTACATGCAGTGCACTCTGTTGCCCTGTGGATAGGAGAATGTCATGACCGGTAATTTTCCTTTTGTTTCCTAGTATAAGGATGCATTCATGAAGGCAAATCCAGGATACAAGTGGTGCCCCACAACAAACAAACCTGTGAAAACCCAGACATCCAGTGTTACAAACAGGAAAAAGCTATGGGCCTTCGCATCAGATTCTGCAAAAGATTTACCAAGCCCCAGGAAAATGACAAAAAGTGAAGAGATGCCACAGCTTAACTTCGGGATGGCAGGTGAGATTTCCATCCATGTTACTCAGACGTAGCATCTTCATTTTATTTGAGGATGTAGTGTTGAAATCGAACTGCGATACCAGTTTTTTTTACTGCACGTGGTACTGTAATGCAAATAACTTTGATGTCCCAAATTAGGTTGCCAAGACCGTAGTTAAACCTCTCTATAACAACTTTCTAAAATTTTCCTTAGTGCATGATTACTTTCAAGAGTCAAGTCCAGATATGTAGCACTACAACCCCATACCCCATTTGGGTCCAGATTTGATTGATTTTTAATTCCAGCTTATCTACTGTTAGTAATTTTCATTTTCTACTCAAAAAGGAAAATGCTGGTTGTGTGCATTCTTTTTCTCTTGCAAAGAGCGTTGTACTGTGTTTAGTAATTTGCTGTTTACAAAAATAATTTATGGGTGTATATGAAGTTGGAGGTGTTAACGTTCTTGTGGACCAATGTACTGCTGGAGCTAACTTTTTGTATTTAAATTGAGAGAAGAGTAATTTAATTTCACTTAAAATATGCTCTTTTGCCCATTATACCTTGGAGGGGCGGATTCTAACCTTTTAAACTTTTTAAAAAGAAAAAAATAATCTGTGAGGAAGTGTAGGTGGAGCACCTGAACTGGTGAAAGTCAGATAATGTCTCACTGATATCCATAAATAGCAGAACTGTTGCAATCATGACCTTGAAATACAGAGACATTAATGTTAAGTACTGACTGCTCAAGAACCTAACCGTCAAGGTAGAATTATTATTTTTCTCCCACCACCCTTTTTTCTTTCTTTTCTTTTTCTTTTTTGCAGTTTAAAGTTTCTAATTTTATAAATACCAGTGTATTCGTAACTTTGTCATATCCTACCCAGTTCATGACTTTTCTGCTTAAGGGAGATCGTGACCTGGAGAGTGGAAGGTAGTTTTATGGAACAAATGTAAAAGGATAAAAAGGGATAAAAAGGCACATATACCTTTTTGCCAGTATAGTGGTATGAAAATTCCTGTAATGAAATTCCTTCTGGCTGTAAAGGAACTGTGAAATGTGATCAAAATGCATTTTTTTCGCTACATAGTTATGATATATGAGAGACCGGTTCTAAAAACTGCAAGCCCCTTCATCCCACTCTGCTTTTGCTATCAGAGGAGTAACTCCTATGCTCCTTAAAGGTTTATTGACTTAACACAAAGGACAGGTAATAGGCCTTGGTCTACCTGTCTGCCATCCCCCACTGCTCCTGCTGGGTTATCCAAATGCAAAGTTTCTGAGTGCAGAGAGATCTTGAATCAATGCCTGTCACAGAGTGGAGGACAGAAAACTTAAGGATTAATTAGAAACTAACCTAATGCATTGTTTTATCTATAAAGCTATTCATTTCTGAGGAAGGTCCTTTTGTGCTATGTGTGATGTAAATTTTTTGTTGATGTTGGTTTTTTTTCTGCAGACTGAGTCAATGAGCATAGTAATTCATAGGGGTCTCGTTCCAGTCCTCATGCCAATGAAGGCTGGCTACTTCCTTGAGTATAACAGTAGCTCATAAAATAATGACAACTTCTGACAGAGAAATTAGCAGCATCCCAAGTCACAACTCTCAAATCTGCCATGCCAAATGGATTACTGTTTTTCAACCATATACCAGTTTGTGCTAAATATGTTTTGTTATGGTGTTCTTTCCTTGACTTCCTGTGGTCATTCCATTCAACTCTGACTCTCCTATCAAGCACAACCTCTTTTAAAATCCAGGCTGTATACTAGCTGATGAACTAAAATGTAGCTGAACCACCTCAGAAACACTTCTGCCTTTGAAACACCACTGTCTGTCTTGCATCTTCAAGGCAGATAGCTTCCTTAGGACAGGGATTGTATGATTCCAGAATAATTCCAGGAAATATGTTTTACTTGTTGGTAGTTGTTAATCCTGTCTTGATTGCTTTTTACATACTATATTTCATTTTGGAAAATGTAAGATATAGAGATTCTCTTTTTAAGTCCCATACAGGCCATCTCTCTCCTTTATTTTTCAATTCTGACCGTAACCAACCCACTATTAAGCCAGCCTGCTGAGTTTCTAACCAGACCAATACTGACAAAGTATGTCATTCCCAAATAGTGAGATGGTTTTAAGTTTCATCAGTATTAAAAGCTGTTGCGAAAGTCACAAATTGCCTCCCATTCTGCAAGTCAAATGTGTATGCTATTTTCTCACTATTGTTGATTTAACTGTAAATTACTTTAAAATAGCACTTAAAATTCTTAATTTTTCATGCCTGTAAGTTCTTAGTGCCCCAAGAGAAGCATTGTTGTGCTGAGAAGGCACTATAAACATATGGCAGTGTTTGCATATGTACATTTTGTCTTCCCTTAAATGAAGTTATTTTGTAATTTGAAACCTTAGTGGAAGGATTTGTGGTTTTATCATGATCAGACATCTAAATGCCAGCCCTCTGCTACAGCTGCAGCTTAAGTATTCAAGTTGTTTAAGCACCAAATTAAACTTTCGCTTTCCACTTAGCTGTCATTTTTTTTCCTTCCTCTTAATTTTTGTATTTAAATAAACAGTTTAAGTATTTGCTTACTCGGGGAAAAACAGTCCTATCGTTGTCCTGTTATAAGCTACTTATTTGAAGCACAGAAAGCTGAGACCACCAAGAAGCTACTTAGAAGAGGGGGAGGAATTTAGAGCCATAAGCTGGGTGTTCTCCAGTTGGCCAAAACTGAGGAAGGGGAAGAAGACCCACAGGTAACTGAAGTGAAGCACAGGAGAGCAACTGGGAACCATCAGTGAGGAAAGGCTGAAAGAGCTGGGCTTGTTTAGCCTGAAGAAGAGAAGACTGAGAGGGGGTCTCATCAACACATACAAGTATCTCAAGGGTGGATGTCATGAGGACAGAGCCAGACTCTTCTCAGTGGTGCCCAGCAACAGGACAAGGGGCAATGGGCACAAACTGAAGCATAAGAGGTTTCAGTTGAATATGAGGAAAAACTTCTTTACTTTGAGGGTGACAGCACTGGAACAGGCTGCCCAGGGGGTTGTGGAGTCTCCTTCTCTGGAGATATTCAAAGCCCGCCTGGACCATGTCCTGTGTAACATGCTCTAGGTGAACCTGCTTTAGCAGGAGGGTTGGACTAGATGATCTCCCGAGGTCCCTTCCAACCCTTGCCATTCTGTGATCAGTGTGGTGTGGGCATAAGAAAGTGCTGTACTGCAGTTGTCAGGCAAAGTGTTTTCGGGAACTGTAGAGAAGAGTTAATGCCATTGAACAGAGCACCGCTCACCTGATGTGGTTGCCTTCCTGGTCGTTCATGCAGAGGAAAGGTGAACTCTACCTGGAATAACTGGAGAGGAGAGCTGCAGGGATCGCTGGGACCATGGGAGATGGACGTGCTTGCTGACATCAGGAGATCTTGATTTGCTTAGGCTTAGGAAAGCAGGTGGCTGAAGAGTAGGGAGACTCCTGTAAATGCAGAAGAGGGAAATGCCATTTAGGGAGAACAGTTATTTAATCTTAAAGATGTGGGCCAGAAAAAATGTATACCACCTGACCCTGAGTAAATTTCAGCTGAAAACTGGAAGAAAGGTCTTAATGCTTAGAAGATTTGTGTTCTGCAACAGCCTTCTAATGGGAATAAAGTAGAAAGCAACCAGCCAAGCCCTTACTGTTTAGTGTGGAGCTCAGTAAGTTCATGGTGGGCCTGGAAATCTCTTCCCATCTCTCTTTCCTCCAAGTTAACTGCCTGCTCAGGCATTATCTTCCAAGGTACATGTTCCCTTGTCACTTCTTAATTGCTCTGATGTCCTCTTGTTTGAAAGACTGAACTGTTTCCGATCAAGTGTTCTGATGGCAAAAGGTGCCGTGCTGACAGGATTGCTTCACTTATGAATTGTGCTTAGGTACTTGCTGGCCCTTCCAATTTTCTGTCTTCATTTCTTTAATCACTTCTTGTTACTAGATCCTACGCTTCTTATAGTGCCTTGTCTCTTTGTAGAAACTTAATACCTTTTGTTCCCTTTTTTATTTAAAAGGTTTTTTTAAAAAAAAACCCCACACCTTCTACCTGTTTATTATGGTAAAGGAAAAAAAAATAATTCCTTTGAACACTGGGTTTGAAGCCAGGTGCTGTTTAGGCTGTGTTCTTAAGATAATGAGCCACTCTTCTATCCTTGAGATAGTGGACAAGCCTGGTTTATTCCCATTGCTTTCCTCTGCTTCTGTTTACTGCTGTTCTAAGAGAGTATTGAAAAAACTTACCCTGTGAATATCAGTGCAAGATGCTGTCTGAGGGAGAACTTTTGGCAATGTCCTGATTTCGGCTGGGACAGTTAATTTTTTTTCCCAGTAGCTGGCACAGTGCTGTGTTTTGGATTTTGTGTGAGAATAATCTTGATAACACCCTGATGTTTTAGTTGTTGCTAAGTAGTGTTTATGCTAGTCAAGGACTTCTCAGCTTCCCATGCTCTGCCAGGTGTGCCAGAAGCTGGGAGGGGGCCCAGCCAGGACACCTGACCCCCACTGGCCAAAGGGCCATTCCAGACCATAGGATATCATGCCCAGTATATAAACTGGGGGCAGTTGGCTGGGGGGCAGTGATAGCTGCTCATGAACTGGCTGGGCATCCTTCGGCAGGTGGTGAGCAATTGCACTGTGCATCACTTAGTTTGTATATTCTATTTTTTATTTATTTATTTATTATTTTCCCTTCTTTTTCTGTCCTATTAAGCTGTCTTTATCTCAACCCGTGAACTTTACCTTTTTCTTTTTTCCCCAATTCTTTCCCCCATCCCACTGCGGGGGGAGGTGAGCGAATGGCTGTGTGGTGTTCAGCTGCCTGCTGGGTAAAACCACAACAGGCGGCCTCTGTGGTGTCGAATTAAGCAGCACCAGTGAGTATTCCTGTGAACTGGACCTTGATCATCTGTAGCACTAAATTGTTTAGAGGTTTACAGGTACAGGTTTGGCCCATATCAGCTGAAAAGCTCAACAAATTCCTCGGCACTGCTCTCATGAGTGGGAACGGACCAGGGGATTTCCCAGTGGGCATTTTGGATGCAGCTATTATGCATCCAAATTTTGCATAACAAAATGCAACCGAATTGGCATGGGTAATGGTGCCAGTTAGCCTCTGTTCCAGGGAATGATCCCAGGCGTGTGTAATTTATTGTTGTAGAGAGGGTTTTGTGTAGTTTAATGAAAGGAAATTGGAAAATGTGAGTGAGGGAAAAGTTACTTATCTTTGGCGTCTCATCATTGCCGAAGCTGGTGTCTCAGCAATACAGCAAGGATAATGCTTCCCTTTTTCTCACGTTGAGGCTGTTGTGTGAGACATTTGGGCCACAGACTGTCTCCCTCTCTCTACGTGACACTCTGTTAAGTCAGGCCCCAGCACTGCGTCCAAGGCACTCCCCCAAAACCAATTAGTCTTCCTAATGATGAAGAGCAACCACTGTTCTGAGTGGAAAAGCCACTCTGTGAGTAATGCGGTGCCAGCATTCATTGCTTTCACTTCTTGTTGTTTTCCAAGCTCCTGAGGTGCAGGAAGGCTGGAAGCAAGAAGCTGTCAGCATCAAATACTTGGAGAAAGAACATTTACAACTCCATTTTACTTTCCTCAATTATATATTGTATTGGCAGGGCAAAAAGTAGGCAGGCAGCTTGCCTGGCCAGTGCCTGCGCTCTTCTGGCACAGAGGATCAAGCGCTTCATGCTTCAGAGCTGTCAGGCTGGCACTTTTCACCACTAAATTAAAGTTAAATGAAAATAGAAATTTTGCTTCAGAGCTTGATCATGTCACTTTGTTCTATCCTTTTACTTGTTCGGTGGCTAAGGAAGGGAACCTTTCCCTCAGTAGGAGCATCCATTGAGTTACAAACATGTGTGATATTAGAGCATCTTTGTGTATATTTGTGTATGAGATCATTACAGTTGCTGTTTTAAAGATACCCATCTCTGTAGTACATAAAACCTTTGGCAGTAAAATTGCAAATCCATGCAATGGGGTGTTAAGCACACAAATCCAATTAAATCTTTCAGACAGCTTTGAAAGCTTCTCCCAGAGGGTACAGAAATGGTTATTTGTGATTCTGTTGAACTGCCTTTTATGGCAGCTTGCTTAGAGTATCTGTGACAAGTAGTCTTCTGGGGGTTTAATGCTGCAAATGGTAGGTTCTTTAAACAAGCAAATGAATAAACTTAAGATTTGCTTTTACTCTTTTAACAGATCCTACGCAAATGGGAGGCCTGAGTATGCTGCTTCTAGCTGGGGAACATGCCCTGACTGCACAAGAGGTAAGGAACTCTCCTCTCTCCCTTTATGCGAGCCCTCAGCTTAAAGAGAGCTCTGAAGAGGAATATTTGACCAGTCGGAAGTGAAATTTAAGGTACATCTTTGGTAACCTCAGGTGGGACTGAAGTGTGAGCCCTGTGATATGAGTTGTATCCCAACCACAAAGGTAGAGGCTGGGCCGAGTTACTATATCTGTTCAGTGTTACCTCTGCCGACTGAATATTTGATCAGACCAGGAAAATCTGCCGCCTGAGAGGATATTGTCACAGGTGGAAGGATGGAAATACAGTGACTGTGTTAATAAACAGGAGGTTTGCAAGCCCTTTTGGGCAAGGATTTCATATGCTCATGCAATGCCTCACGTAACTGTGGCCTTGGCCCTAATAGCAAAATAAACACTTAATAATTTCCACACAGTATCATTATGTATGCATTCTGAAACCTTGCAAGTGCTTGCAGGTAATCAAAGTATTGCAGTTTACTCCTATTCATTAAGTCTTTATGTCTAAAGAGAAGTTTGTGGTTCAGTTGCCTTCACAAACATTTGTTTTTACGAAGGAGCCTGGTAAATAAAAGTGTTCCTGCATATCTCCAGTAGTGTGGAGACCTCTGGTCTTTCTTTAGACTATTATTTTATTATTTATCATCTTTTTTTTGGGCCAGCTTTGAAAATTATTCAAAAGGTGTCTTGTATGTTGGGTAAAATAGGTAATCGCTAGCCTGGAAAAAAGAGGCACGAAAGCGAGGTTTTCTTTTTTGCTTTTTTTGTTGTTGTTGGGAGGAAAAGCAGTAATTAACTATCTATATGCAATACCCCCAAATGCAAAATGTGTAATGCATTTGAGATGGATCGCTCTTGTACAGCCAAGACTCCTCAGTGCTTTGCACACCAGTTTGAGCAATGGAAGTCTTTGTGCAGAAGTGCGTACTGGCCTTCTGTACTGCAGCATGAAAAATAAGAAACACTAGGGTAAGGTTGGCAGAGAAGTGAAAAGACATTTATTATTTTGTGCTAAAATGTGAATGTCCTGTAGTTTTCAAACTTTGAATCTGTCAGATTGGAGTTTAAAAACTGTTTTTACTATGCTGTGATGTTTAAATGAGAGGTAAGGTATATTGCAGTCACAAATACTCACTTCCAGTAAGAAGGGTCTTTGCTATGACCTTGTGAGTTGAGCTTTCTTGCTTTTACATGAAAAGTGCCTCAAGTAGTACGATTTCAGATGGCAGTGAAGGAATAAAATCTACATGTGGATTTAGAGACAAATCAAAAAGGATGTTGTGTGATTGTTTTAGTATATGAATGGGGTGATTTTAATCAGGATTTTCTTTTTTTGAGCAAAAGACACATTTCCCATGCGCCTACATAAACCCTGTTTTTTCTGATAGAAGCATGTGATATGGCCTGTGATGTAATATTTACTTTATGTATAAACTGTACTGTGCTGTGCTCTTTTGAGCCTGTAGTCTTCTTTTGAAACTCAGCCCTCCACATCAGAGGCAAGCTGTGTAATCTGCTTTCCACCAAAATGTAGAGCAATATACTTGCCATAAATGCAGCCTGAACAAAACTAATTGAGGGATTTGTTGGCTGTTGTCAGAATCATGATAGGCCAGAAATAAGCCTACACTTAACTGGTAAGTTACTGCATTTTAAATGTCCTACGCTAGTAGGTAAGTGACAGAGCACTTTACCAGGGAACAAAACTGAACATCTCCCATTCTTTCAGAGTGTCCCCTATGTAAAATACATTCTCCAGAACAATCTGGTTGCTTGGTATTCTCAAAGGGACCCAAGTGGATGGAGTTCAGTCCTCCTAAATGCGTGTCAGCGGGAATTAATCTCCAGCTGTGTTTCTGTGCACTGGGAAACTTCCTCAGTCTCTTTGCGTGGCAGCCCCTTGTGTGTCTTCCGTTTTCCTTTGTTTTCTTTTTATTCAGTGTTTCAGTGGTGACTAGATACAGAGCAAATATTTCTTAGGCTTGTGTTTCCCAAAATGCAATGAAGATCCTAAACTTATTTAGACTTGGATAACTGAACAGCACTTCTGGCTTCCCATCCTCAGGCGTGTGGACAGAGGAGACATCAGACGTTCATCTTTGCATGCCTATGGGACAACTTGGGGTTCGATTTCCATGCTTATGCTTGAAAGTAGTTTCACTCTCAAACCAGCTTTTGGGAGGTTAGCAGAACATGCTAGAAGCTGCTGGTATACATGCATACATGCTGATATGACAGGCTCGGTAAGAAGCTGAAGAATTCATTGTAGAATTGGTAAGCTGCTTTCCTCTTCAGTGTAAGGGAGTTAGTTGTGTTAGAGTTGGTATTGAGGTGGGGGAGAATTTGTGTACTAAGGTGACTGCTGAGTTACTGTCAGTGAGGAGGTTCAGAAGTTGCTTAACTGTGGAAGACTAGGTATTGTTTTTATATGCATGTAAGTATATAAATATATATCGTATATCTAAACCCATGGCATTTCTATTAAAAAAAAAATGCAGTGTCATTTTTAAAAGAATGCTCTAAATGATATCATGTAGTCTTCATTATCAGTAAAGCGCATGTGTGTACTGTAAGACTGTAAGCTACACATGCATATACATGGTTCTTAAATTGGGGGACCACCAGACCACCAGACTTGACCACCTGTCAACGTGCAGTTTTGACTGCTTGTGCATATGTATGGTTGTGCGAACTTGGGTGGCCTTGTAAGCATAGGTCTTAAATACTACTACCATCTTAAAAATTGTTAATGGAAAGGAGGGCAGCACTGGCATAGTTTGCTCAGAACTTGAGAGAAGATGAGGGAAATGATACCTTACAGGTCTGCTAATCCCACATAAATTTATTTGGCGCCTGCTGTTTTTCTGTCAAGTGTATGTTAAATGGATGTATAGGGACTTTTCAAGCCAGGTGTTTAATCTTCGAGTTGTCGGAAGCCCAGAGGTCAGGTAAGAAAGTGAACAGGCACCAGCGGGAGGACAGGAAGAGGCACAACAGCGATATTTACAAAATTGCCTTGAGGCTTCGGTCACCGTCTCTGTATGTCACTGGTTATGTTCCTATTTCTGTAATTTATTTTTTTTCAGTAGACTAGAGAGTTTTTCTTCTGATAACAGAATTCAATGTCAGTACATGACTGATTTCCAAGCAGCAGCTGGAGTTACTAAGCAGACAGGCAAGTGAAGCTACAGACCTTACCAGCAGTACAGAAAGGACTTGGGTATGCAATGAGTTTTCCACCTGGCTTTTGGGTCCTTTCATCAGTTCCGCGAGACTATGGTGTGTGTATATGAGCATATTTTGTTGAACACCTGAGCAGAAATGCCAGGTGGGTCTGCTCCAGCTGCTGTCCCCGTGCTAGGCAGGGCCTGGTCCTCCCAGCAGATTTATTAGCAGAAAGGCTGAAGCTGGTGCAGGAGCGCTCCTTGCTCACCCTCTCGCCTCCCTCCATCCATGTCTCCCTTACTTGCCTGTCATGGCCCTTTACTTGCCTTACAGCAGCACCTAGTGGCCTCTCTGTAGGTTACTGCTCCGAAATCCCAAGATTTGTAGCGATTTGTAGCGTAGTCCAAAACGTGGCTTTTTTACCAGTTTCCGCCCTCGCTGCTGCCCGCCACATCAGGACAGCATCAAAGCCTCGCATCAGCCGGTGCAGAAGCTGAGCCCGGGGCTGCCCCTTCGCCTTCATTCGGCACGATCTGTTTTAGAGCCCGTTATGGTAACCTGCAGGGAGAGGGAGGCTACGGAGGCGTTATCCTTGCGGTTTCCTTCTCTTTGAAAACAAAAGGTTATCTGGTGTGCAATGCTGGGTCTGTGCCAGGTGGTATTGCCCAGGGTGTAAATCGGAAGTGAAAAATCTCTCAGTGGAGCTTGAGGGTAAGCTGGGAGGAGGAAAGAGGAGAAGAAATGAGGAGATGTCGAGGACGTTTTATTACAGCAGGAGAGGAGATGTATGCAATGGCACTATCTGTGCATCCGTTCCCTCCAATAATTATTTTAACGCTTTGATCAGGTTCAGCCTGGCAGAGATTAGAAGTCCTGGAGATAATAAATTTCCCACAAGTCAGGAGTGTGTGGGGAGAAGCAGAGTAGAAGAAACAAGCTCAAATCACTGCTTCTGTCAAGCAAAGGCATTAACTTCTTAAAGATAATAGAAATGGATAGCAAAAGTGTGGTGCTTCTAACTGCAAAATTGCCTCTTGAGTTACTGGGCACCGGCAATCTGCGCTTTACACACAAAGCTGTGAGAAACTGGGCTTCGCACCTTCCACGGCTCGAGGTTCCTGTACCGCCGGGCGAAGGAGCTGTGCCGGGCCCCCAGCGCGTGGCCTCGGAGGCAAGGAGAGGGCTCGCCTGCCCGGGGAGCGAGCACTTTACAGCGCTGGTGTGGCAGGGGCTGAGCAGCTCCCAGGAGGGCTCCTCCGCTCCAGCACGGTGCTCCCGGGGTGGCGTGGATCAGCGGCTCCCAACTCGGGGCTGGTTTGTGCCACACCAGCTCAGGCGTGTGTTGATGCCTTCATGTGGATGCGCCCCTGGATACGCAGAGGAAGCTGCAAAACCGCCGCGGTCTCTGTTAGGGCGGGCGGGCGGGCAGAGTTCAGGCACGCGTGGTCCTGCAGCACCCGCCTCGGGGAGCAGAGAGGTTTCGCGCGGCTTCCTCGTTCGCATGGCTTCTCCCAAGCAAGACAGCGCCCTTTTGTACGGCACAATGAGTAGGCTCCGCTCACGAACAAACGGCTTCAGTAGGTACCACAAACTAAGCTATGTAAGGCAGCCGGTCGCACTGCAGAAAATTTTAAGTTATATGAGGAACCAAACCCCAAATTTGGTTATTCCTGGGAGAATTCCACCAGTGAAGTGGCCTGAAATAACCAAATGAGCGCTCAGGCATGCAAGCAGCATCCATATATATTTCACAGCAGTGCAGAGACTCGGACCTTCAAAGATGGGTCGCTCAGCAGCAGCAAGGTCGGTATACACCCCTGGTACAATTCACACCCCTGCTGAGGCACAGACATCTTAAACAGATCGTACAGAAACATGAGAAAGGCAGTAATAAACATTACATCAGTCAAAACAGTAACACAAACCATTGAAAAAGCAAAAAAACAGGCATTAAAAACACATTCTTTGTAACCCTTTGGGTTGGTATACTCCCATAGTACAGTGATAAAACATCAATCATAGGAGGCACTGTTACTGCTTGGTTTTATGGCAGGGAAAACACAAGTTGCCCTGTGTACATAAGCAAATTGTCATGTGGTGTAGTTCCCCTTGGCATGTGGGTTGCTGCACTTGGATTGAGTGTTTTCAGGGGAATACGGGTAGCAGATTCCTGAAACGAAATGCCACTGGTGCTATTGCAGTGCTTATTAAGCATGTCGGACAAACAGCATCAGGAGCAGCGGCACAAACTGCACGTCCTGTAGGCCTGCTTGTTCTGTAGCGCTTTGTGCTTAGCGGCAACAGATGCAGTTGCTAGCTAAATCTCATGTGCGCATTCACTAATAAATGCTATTGGCATACTTGTTTTGGTAATAAAGAGGAGAAAAGACACATTTGCATAGAAGTGTTTTAAATAAACTGAAATTTCATGAAAAATTTAAAATGGATGGGAGGAAAAAAAAATCCGTGCTGTTACTTTTCCTAAAATCCCACAAAGCCTCCTTCCTTTCTTCTGTTTCCTATAAGCCATGTTACATGCCTTATTTTATACTAACAGTGCCTTATGCTTCTAGGAGCTATGCAGGTAGATCTCTTACACTCAAGTGTAACATTTAATGAATGTATCATATTTGATACCATTCCTTTACAGAACAATGCTTGATTAACACATTTCTGCCTAATAAGAATAGTACAGCTAAGCTCTGTGTTAATTCGAATATGGCTGTTGATTGTGAGCAGTCATTTCTTTGTATTTTGATTTCAGAAGTTACGACTCTTTCTTGCACTGTTTCTCATAAGCACACCCCCAAAATGGATCTTTTGGTACACTATTTGAGCAATTTTAGGCTGTGGTACCCTTAACCATTTATTTTCATGCTGTCAGGTGATTGGGGATTATTTTTCTAATAAGTATTTCTGTCACTTAGCAACCTCCAGTGTCTTCGAAAGTTTTTTTTTTTTTTAGCTTCCAAGTAATTTTCATATTCAGATGGTAGTACAAATTACAGCTATAGCAGCATTGGTAGCATCACCAATACAAGGTAGTTGTGTGTGTAGCCCAATATCATTAGTTTAGTACTCTGTTGCATAAAACTCTTTTGCAGAGTTTGGAATTATAAATGAGAAAAAAAAAAAACACTGGTATTTTTGTGGTCTTTCTTATTGGGTGATTTTCAAATGCATTAAAACGGGTGCTAAGCTATGTTTTCAGCTTGAAATTTGATTTAACATGTCCAGGACTGCATAACATTAGATTGCCCATCTTCTCTTAAATGCTGTTTCTTGTTACTGTTGCCTGGTATTTTGCTTTGCTCACTGATGTTCTTAGCTTGAAAGAAAAACCTTTGAGTTCTTAATCTGCACACTCCTTGTTGCAGGTTTCCTCGAGTACTTGCCAATCTGATGCAACTAATTCTAATGAAACCTGTCAGAAGTCATCATTGTTTCAGTTTGCAGAGGTGAGTTTCTTTAAAAAGGGTTATCTTCCCTGGTATTTTCATTTTAAGAAGCTGAAAGAGAAATCAAAAACGTTTAACTAAAATTCATGCTTTTATTTGTTCCTGCTTTTGGGGTTGATGGTACTGGATCATTTATCAGGTAGATAGGTCAGACTAGAAGTGCAGGAGAGTGTGTTTAGGAACATGGTGGAAACCTTACTGCAATAGGGGAGCTGTTGTTTAAAGCAATAATTTATAGTCCTGCACTTGGTTTTAAACTAGAGTCTTACTAACTAAAGTTTTAACATGTATATTTGGATGTTACATTATGTCCTTTATAAGTTGTGGCTGCTTTAGTCGTTGACTCAATCAAAATTAACTGTCGCTCTGGAATTTCCAGAATCGTCTTCTATAACTGCCAAATAGCTCTATGCGACTACGCTTTAGTTTTGCAATACACAACATTTTCATCAACATATTGCTAGAAGCACAGCTGTGGTGTTTTGCTTTTTTTAAGTATATGCTGTTTCATCCAAGTTTTAACGGATTTCATTGATAGAACTAACATGACAGGAATGCAGTTGCGAAGAATCCTGCTCCTCTGCAAGCCTCACTTGCTTGTTTATATCTTTTCAACTTCTGAAATTATCATAGTCAAGTGACATATAGATATTTAGTGTATAAATATTGATTGTACAGGATGCTGGGTGGTGTTTAAGTAAGTGCATATGAAAAGAAACTTTGTCATAGCAGGGGCTTCTTTTTATTACCTGCTTTCACACAAGCCATGAATCTGACTCCTGTGTCTTTAATACTCATTGCCGTGTGTACCTTCATACTTCTCCCTAAACATCATCACTTAGGGAGCAGATATGTTGCAATCCTAGCACACAGAAAATGTGATTCGTTTTGGGTTTTGTTTCAACATCAACCCACAAGACCTTGAGTTCCAGCTTAAGATCTGAGGCTTTCAAAATGTATTAGAGAGAAAGCACTGATGCTTTGTTTCTGATTAAAGGGAATGGCCACAGTGAAGTGCGTAACCTGTAATTAGGCTTATCTTGTTAGGAAGAGGAAATGCCTGGTGTGCCAGCAATGAAAAGCAATACTTAGAAGCTTCTTAGAATTGGTTAATTCCAGTGTCACTTAGGATAATTCTATGGTAATAACTCATCATCCATCTTCCAGTATTTCTAAGGTGCTTTTGCATACTTAATGCTGTCAGTTGAGCAATGTCGTATTTGGTATAGTTCCTCTTGCTAACGGTCTGTTTCTTGAATTTCACTGCAAAGTCCTTCAAGGAGCAAGACAACTACCAGCTCACTTAATTGTTTCAGTTCATTTTACCGTGCCCAAGCAGGAAAGTGCAGGAAAGTGTGGTAACAGGCAGGAGTTGTGTTGTGGGCTGCAAGATAGGCTCTTGCTAAGGGCTTGTGACCCCCGGCTTTTCCTTACACCTCAAAGAAGAACTTCAGTGGGTGCCAGGAAACGAGCTCATCCGCACTGCTAAAACATGCGGTTTAGAAATAGCTCACTGATGAGCAGTAATTAGAAATGCACATTAGCTAGTCTTGCTTTTCAAGGATGTTAAACAGCCTGTAGTGAGGCTGCACCTAACCAGTGCGTGGTAGGCGTGTGTGTCAATGGCAAAATAATTGGTACTTGTACCAAGGTCTAACATTAATTACAGGTGTCATCTGCAACAAAAATAATTGACAGAAGTTAAACAGTATAAAATGCAGTTACCTTAGTGTCCGGGATAGATCTGGTATCTCAAAGTACCTGCACACGTTGTCTCCTTGTCCACACCTTCCTTGCGAGCAGTTTGTGCTCTATCACCATTCTGCAGTCACAAGTCTTTCACTGAACTCTGAAATACAATCTAGCATTAAGGTTTTGTTACTAAACCTCTTTTGGCATATCAGTGGGCAAATAAAAGCCCTTCAAAAAAGCCTCAGCCTGTTCTATTGATCGTAGGAAAGATTTTCCTTGTGAAAAATAATTCAAGATCACCACTTCACCCATTTATGTGTCTCCTGGAAAGCAGATACTGTTCTTTGTACGGATATGCTGGGACTCGTTTGCATGCTCATAGGTACCAGGAGTCTTTCTGTATGATGCATCAGAAATTTAGCATGTTGAAGTTTGATACAGAAACTGAAGAGTTAGGTAATATAAACATAATTGTTTTCCTGACAGATCTCTTCATGCACATCACAGCCTGGAGTCCCGGGAGCTGTAAAACAAACAGAAGAGTCTGCATTGTTTCAGTTTGCTGAGGTATAATGGCTGAAATATGGTGGGGGAGGATGGGAGGAAGCAAGGAAACCAGTAACAGTTGTCACTGAATGGTTAAGCACCCTATCTTACCCATCAGTAGATGTTTATCTTTGTGACAGCATTGTGTTAGGAAAATCGTGGGGGGAATAACCAGTGATTGGACAAGACGGTGACCAGTTCTACCAGCTGTAGCATGCACAAAAGATATGGGGTTTGTGAACATTACCTGGCCTTCCATACCAAAGGACCACTGCAGACATATCTTCCAAATGGCCTTTTAGTTTACATCTAGGAAAACAACAAATAAAAAAAAAAGACACTCTGAAATGACACTATGCGCTGCCTGTGGAAGAGGCAGCAGTGCAAAATGGCAACTCCCCTAGAGTCAGGAATCCTTCAAAAAATAACCTTGTAGGTCAAAGGTAGCTTATCACAACAGCTACAAGGATGTGTAGCAGCATCATTAGGTGGTGACTTACAAAGCCTATAAATTACCCGTAAGTATGTAAGCTATCCTCCTGCCTCCATGTATTGAAGATTTTGAGTTTTTAAAAGATTGCTTTTAAGAATTTCTTCTCCCATGTGTTTAATGTGCCTCTATGAATTGACTTTCCCACACACGCTCTTCTTGCCCGTTTGGGGGAGTCTGGTACTGCTTTGCAGAATCAGTTATGCTAAAGGTATATTCAACATGTGTCTGAAAAGACTGGGATTGGAGCTGGTGCTATTGTGGAGGAGCATAATGGGATGAAAAGATACCCTGTTTGTTATTCCATGTGCTTACAGAGGTTTGACCACATACAACATGCCTGTTAAATGTTAAGCTAATTGTGTACTGTGTGTTTTCAGCTTGTCTAGGATGGGCCTTGATGTACTTCTTAGGAGGCCCAATTAAGAAAAAACAATGTACTGATTCAGGTGCCATAAAATACCTGACTACAAACACCCCTATAAAAGGTACAATAGAGTTAATATCTCTAATCATGAAGATATTTTCATACGTGCCTCGTTTTTTTTAAATTACAAGGTAATTGTGAAAGTTTTTTTGAGAAAATTAGTAGAATTTAGCAGGATGAAGCCATGTGCTGAAGCCAAGCTTTTAAGCAGAGTAAATATATAAGCTGGAAAACATTTTTTGTGAATTTTATTGCAAAATATTGTACGAGTGAATCTGCTAACTTAGTTTCAAAAGTCTTAACCATCTTACATTGTAATTAAACAGCAATTTTAGATATATGCAGAGTTGAACAGGGTATGAATTGCCTTTAGTACAGCATTTTCAACTTGCCGTGTAAAACCTGACCTAGCCATACTTTCAAAATTTCACAGAACCTAAAATCATTTCCCCTCCTAATTGAACAAACAACAAAATGACAAACCTGAATGCTGTCATACGGATGTGGCAGTGCATTGAGTTGCATACCACTACACTGAGCCAGCTCATTTGGCACATCAGAGTGCATGTATGAATCATTAAATGTTAGGTAGAAGAGGTGCTTAGAAAGTTAATTAAGAACTGGAGCAGACAGTTTTAAGGTAAGGGTTAATCTCTTTTTCTTGTAAAAATATTAAAATGTGTGTGCAGTCTGGTGGGGTTTGTATTTTTTTGGTTGTTTATTCAGTGTCTGGAAATAAGGGACAGAAATCTGGAAAAGCAAAACAAAAAAAACACAGAAAAAAAAAAAAACACCTTGTTGGCCATGGTTATTCCCCCTGTATTACACTGTTGTTGTGAAACCTTTATGGCAGTGAGTAACATCATGTTTTATCTATAGCAATGGAGAAATGCCATTTTTTAAGACTACAGCCTGATTTCATTTAGGTTGTTCCAGGGTATTGAGCATGCTACAGAACCTCTCTAAGCTTTCTCCCCCCTGCTATTAAAGCTGTTTGTGCTCTTTCAAATATAAGGGCTTTCATTTGCACAGGGTGTCTTTGTCAAGTTTGGCAAAAATCCCGTTCCTTAGTGTGCCACTTCTTACTGGGTCCTGTCTATATGAACGCATTACTACATTTAGTAAGCTAAATTATGGTAAGCAATTTGCAGTAGGCTGCTGTCAGCAACGTGCAGTGCTACAAAAGAAAAGAGAGAGGGAGAGAAAGTAGTTATTTAGCCAGTAGCCAAGCAGACCTGTGAAGAAATGTGAAGTGTGCTGCGGTCTGATGTGCCTGGAGACTTTTGGCAGACGTCCCAGCTCAGCTTTGGTTCTGGCTGGGTGTTCTTCATATGCTCCCTTTCTCTTTGCCGCCTTTGCGGCAGGGTGAGTAAGAGTGCCTCTTTGTGAAGACAGCGATCCCATTGAGTAGACTTGTCATTTAAAATGGACACCTTTACCCCAGGAGTACAAGTCCCCTGTGACTCAGAAACAGCTCGTTATGTGTAGACGTAGCATGGGATTCTTTCTTCTTTACAGCCTCGGTTAGCCTTTCATCTGTTTGTCTGTCCCAAGTGCTGTAGTCTTCAATTAAAGCTGTGGAGGATACGGCTAATGAGGCCTGCCCAGTGACTTGCCACAACAGATAATGAAAATCCCAGGAGTAAGACTTTGTTGGGTCCCACGGGTGCACTGGCAAACGCCTTGGAGGTCTTCAAAGATGATGTGACGTTCTCATATGAGTTTTTTGAAATTTGGAGTGTTGCCAAGTTACACTCTTGGCTTTCTCATTCTGCCCTGATCTTCGAAATACTTGGTTCTACTTCGTCCTTCTCATTGGTACCTTTATGGAAAGCCGTTATATAGGCCAGTGATTCCTGAGCAGTGGGCTGTGTTCCTTCGCGCGGTGGCTGTTTGCAAGCTGTCTGCTCACGTGGGCTGGTTGCTGTCATCTTCCTTGCCATGTGAGGGAAGCAGAGCAGATGGGACCCCTTGCTCTCTTGGACTTGCTGGATGTGTGTTTGGCAAACGCGAACAGATGGTGATGACTGCTTCGTAGAGACGAAGCACGAGTACCTCTTAGATTTACTTAGCTAAACTCTCATCCCTTATTAAACAAAGAAAATGTTTCCTGAGAGTGGGAAACAATAAAACTGCTAGTTTACCCATCTTAAAACCAAAACAAAGCCAAACCCCACAAACTCTTCACTTTCAGCTGCTTTTCTGAAGTTTTTCTCTAGGTGATTTAATCAAAAAAACAATCGCGTACAGCATGCAACAAGGTAGAATTTTCTTTGCTAGCCCAGCAGGTTACTATCATTTAAGAAAAATGCATGCTTGAGGATGATTTTGTCCCTGCTGCATTCTCACATACTCACTTTGAGCGGGCTAGCGGGCAACCCTTTCTGTTTATTTCTGTGCTGAACAGAAGGTTCGGCAGAATCCAAAACTTTTGGTCGAAACGCCTTGGAATTGGGAATGTGAGAGCTAGTCAGTATCTTCTCTTCCAGCCTTCCCTTAGGTAAAGCTGTAATCTTTCCAGGTAAAGCCATTACGTAAAATAGACAAATATATTTGCTGTTTTCCTCTATACTGAAATTATTAAATGTCTGTTGAAGTGAAATGCTTGTTCTAGGAGCGAAATGAAAAAGTGGTACCATGGCATGTGCTTCTTATGCAAACTATAACGTAATATAGTAGCTAAATTGCTGACTGGCATTGTAATAAAAGATAATAACTTGATCCTAATTATCCCCAAGTTAAAGAAGGGGCTCTCTGTGGTTGTAGTGCTGCAGGTTCTGATTATTCTAATTAAAACTGGAAGATGGTGTTAAAGACAGGGAATGAGATCTGTAACCTCACTGAGAGCTGACTGATCAGCGCATCCTCTTCTGGTCTTTGGCCAGCAACTTCGGCAGAATGAGTTCTAAGTTTGTCTCTTGCAGTTTGTTTTCTTGGCTATGAAGAGAATCTTTTTGCTGAAGTGAAATGTTGGATTCCTCTCATTATTAGTATTACAAGGATCTCGCTTGCCTTTTGTTAGGAGCACCTGTTCTATTGTCAAACCAGAACTCTTTGCTTACATTGCGCATCAGGAGGCAAGAATGTGCCTGCATGTTCTCAGGTTATACACCAGTGTGTGGGTGGTTTTCTGTCCCTTTTCTGCCATTCATACTGCACTGAAAAAATCACTGAGACCTGAGAATGTATTGCGGTAGAAAAAGTTGAGGCCCTCTTCCTGTAAAGTGCAGTGTACAAGATCACTTACTCCAATGGGGTCCTGAGCAGGTTCACTGAACTGTGTTGAAGAGAAACTAGGATTTTAAATTATGTTCATTTAATACTAAAAAATATTATTTATATGCATTCAAGTATGATTCACTGTATTTTAAATAGCTTGCAGTAAAATTAACGTTCTGGACTTGGCGGGGGGAGGGGGAGGGGAGGTTGTAATGAATGTCCTTGACAGCTGAAAAGTAAAACTCTTCAAATAATCTAATTCAAAAAAAAGACATTAAATATACAGAGAAAGGCTGAGCTGATAATTTTTTGCACCTGAATGATCGTGGTCACAAGTGTGATTTTTGTGATGAGGAAGATGCCACAGAAACACTGGTGGTCTTGCCCCTAATCTTAGGGCTTTTCAAGGCTTCCAGGTCAAATACTACCATATAATGCTACGCCAAAAAAGATCAAATGTGAGAAATAATGATTAATTCTTCTGTTGGTGAACTCATAGTACTGCTTTTGGAAGCAGGTTGGAAAAAAAACTCCCTGAAGTGTGGTGGTAGTTATTTCTCAGCACTGGTGCTGGCACACCAACATCTGTTTGGAAGGCTAGATGTGATCTCCAGACGTAAGGGCTTATTTCTTTTTTCTAACTAAAGAAAGTGAAACAAGCAGTGCCTGTGAGGACAAGTGGGAAATGCTGCCCAGGCTTTCCAAGAGAATTTTATTTAACCTTGACCACCACAGTTCATGTTTTTAAGCAACAGGTATGTCTTCTTCACTTAGTCACATAAAACACACGTAAAACACGTGGCATGATAGCGTATTTGCTGTGGACAATACAAACATAGAAGAGAATCTGTGAGCCTGATCTAAGGAAGAAATTCTGTATTTGCTTATATCCTGCTGACTTCTAAATGCCTGTTCAGTGTTCTTTGGATGGGATTGCATGTCTGAAAGTAGAGCCTTCTGCCAGAAAGCTCTAGAAGTAAATGATTTAACTAACTCCTGAATCTTTTCATTCTTTTTCTCCCTTCCTTTCTGTCTTTCCTGTGTGCCACTGAAATATTTTCTCCTCTGTTCATTTAAAACCTAGATCTCATCAAATACTTCCCAGTTGTCAAGTCCTGAGCCAGTAAAGCACTATGGGAAGTCGGCACTCTTCCAGCTGGCAGAGGTAAAGTTATACCCATTAGCGTCACAATGGGAAGATGCGTGTCTTTTCCACCAAAAAGTATGAATTGTTTAAGGTTTGCTCTCAGATTTAGTATTTCCAGAATCATAAACTAATAAGTAATGGAATAGCAAGAGAATTAGGCAGTGGCAGTGGCCCCAGGGACCTAGCTTTTCTTTATACACTTAGTGTGCATAGTTTCTTGGAGACAGCACAGAAAAAGTTACGCTTCTTTTTTTGGAAAAATTAGCCTTATAACTAAAATAAAAACAGTGCTCAGGACAATAGCAAAGACAAGAGACAACAGCATTCTTCTCAATGAGGAGCTGAGAACCAGGATTCAAAAACTGAAGCTTTGGTATAAGGACTGGAAGGTGCAATTACTGAGGGGGGACCAAGAAAAGGAAGAAAAAAGTAGGCTTTGAGATCATCAGGAATCTGTATGAAGAGGTGGAAGTCAAAGCAGTGTATTAAGTTATGAAATTGGCAGCTGTCGGCTGTAATCAAGAATACTAGGTCAAGTTTCCCAATAGTCCTAGAAATTCTCTGTGAGTCTTAAATACAACCTTGTAGAGGTCTCCCCTTTGATATGTACGAATCACTCAAAAACCGTAGAGGCTTGGTGAGCAAATATTCTTCTTGATGATTGAAAGATGAAGATACATGCTGCATTCCAGGTAAATAAGGGAGGATGCTAGCACTGTACTCGTGCACTTTTTTTTTTTTGGTCGTCTTCCTCAAAATCACTTCCTGTTTCAGTGAGGAAAATTGATTCTCTGGATCCCATCCAGTGGCATGCAGCCATATATTTTTGCTGGTGAGGTTAATCCCTCTCAGGGAAAATGTGGAAGCACTGAAATAAAAATATTTTGTGCCTTGTTCCATGGATAGTAATGCTCCTATCTGATTTTATAGGAACTTACATGAGTGGAAGAAAACCTGCCTTACCCTACAGGCGGTCCCTGGTAGTAGTAGAGTTTGTGGGTGTGTGCCGTGTTGGCAGCAGTATCTGTGCAAGGGTGATTACACCTAACTGCGACCAGTGATCCATAGGCATTTGACTATTGCAGCCCTGGGACAGCAGAAGGACTGATAGTATTTGGTCAGGGACACCAGAATTTTTTGAGGTGTCCTCTTAGAGGGCAGCAGCAGGCTTTGCGTAGTGCTGTTCTGGAGTAAGGTTGTTGCTGAGTGCAGCCTGACTTTTGGAAGTCAGTATTAAAAGTTGTGATGTGACTGTGAAGCCCTAGTTTAGGGGAAGGACAGGTGCTTGTCCACAGGAGTGCAGAGTTTGTACTGCAATTGGTAGAAAAAGTGAAGCTAAGTCTGGCAGCATGATGTTTGCTTGTTGGGCAAGATCTCTTGGTGATTCCCAAATGGATTCCTACAAGCCTACTTCAGTATACAAAATGAATGTTAAAGGCTCTGCTGCAAACTGAGAAAAGCATGGCAGATGTGCTAAGCACATCCTCCTTGTCTCTAGCTCTCACAGGACATTAGTGCTATTGATTTTCCCCACCGCCCCCAGTTTTGGAGGTCTCTGTAATGTTGGATTGTAATTCGATAAATAAAATGCAAGAGGTTCAGCTTAAGTTTTCAGGTAGCAAATCAGGACCTGGTTTGGAGCACCCCAAATAAACCCATGTACATTATCACCTCGAGGGTGTCTTAGGTTTGCAAGTTCATTTGGCAGACACCCGTGCCACGCTGCTGTAGCTCCAAACCACAGATGCTGTGCACTGGAGGGGACTGGACTGCTGTCTCCAGGCTGCTGGCGTGGCAGGGGTTTGGTGCCTGGGAGCCCGTCTGCTTCAGCACACCACGCTGCTCTGCTCCTCCTGTGGCTCTCTGCTATGTGGGTTAACCGCTTTTATCTTTTTTTTTTTTTTTTTCCTCCCCCCTTCCCTATGCCTTCCTCTTTGATATTTCACAGATGGCGATAAAATAAAATGCAGAAGTGGGTTAAATTATTTTCTGAAAAATTCGGAGAATTTCCAAGTTTCTAAAAACGGTTGGAGCAGCCGCTCTGCAGCCTGATGCCTGGGAGGCTGTTGCTGATCAGCTCTGCTGTGTCTCTTGCTGTGCCTAAATGTATGCTTTGCCTTTAGCCATGGGTGGGGAGGCAGGAGAGTGAAGGGGAGCAGCGGTGGGGGTGTGCGTCACCTCCACAAGGCAAGGAGGCTTGCAGAGGGCTGACAGCACAAACCACGCTTGGCTGTAAGCGGCATTCGGAGAGTTGAGCAGTAGTGGTCAGAGCTCAGGGGATGCTGTGAAGAGCTACAGCTTCCAGGAGACACAGAGATACAACATTGTTAACCTTTTTTTATTATTATTATTTCCTTTATGGCATGGGCTGATTTCTGCAATATGGGCTTTTTGTGCCTGTGTTGGTTGAGAGCAATGAAAACTGAATTTGGGGGGTAGAGGGAGCTAAAAGGTTGTAAACACTTTAGTTCCTCAGTCCCTGGAACTCCCCCTCTTTCTACGGAAGCAAGTATAAGAAACCTGCAAGCCTGATCAGAGATTGAAATACGTCCTTAAAAATAGAACACTTTCTTCTTCTTACTCATGGCCAATCCTGAGACTGATCCTTTTAATTTGTTCAGAAAAAGACTGTTTCTTTGTACCAGGCTCAAAACTGGTACAAAACACTCTAAAGTACTTTAGTACTTTCCTGATACAGGAAAAAGATTCTGGGGAATAGTCAGCTACCTGCTTGCCGGGCAGCCTCCCATGCTTGTGAGGAGCGGTCAAGGTTACCAAAGGCTTGAGGGCTCCTGCTTCACTGTGGCTTCATAGCATCTCTTTTATGTGAGTCCTATAGGACACCAGTGGGCAGTGCCATAGCCTGACAGGAGTAACCTTCTTCAGCTATGACAATGAAATGATTTTGCAATCGACTATCCAACTAAGCCTTCAGAAACGCCACCAGCTGGGTTGCAAGCTGGTGTAGATCGGTGCTTAGCTGCTGGAGCCTGTTTATGTGTGAGAGAGCTCGTGCTTCAGTTCATCCTACTCTTCAAAGGGAGCCCTGACAAGAAGATCCCCAAATCTGGAAATAGCTTTTAGTGTCCAGTGGTATTACCCACCAGAGCAGTGGTGGAGCAGGGTTTTATTTGTAACAGCATGCACAGGTCTGCAGTTCTTTTTCAGTGTGTAATCTTACGAATAGACTTTTGGAAGAGGGAGGAAGTAATCCATTCAAAAGCTGTGTAGTAAACATCAAAGAATTGTGCTGGTAAAATAACATTTTTCTGTTTCCTCCCACTGTGTTTTTTCTTTAGATTTCTTCAAGTACGTCCCATTCAGCTCCTTCTGATTTAACGAAACAGTGTGGAACATCAGCATTATTTCAGCTGGCAGAGGTAATATTAGAATACTGGTGATTAATTACCACAGGTGCAGTGGGGCAGAGAAGTTAATGATGTTGATCGCTGAAGTCTGGAAGGCAGAACAGTGCTACAGTTATAATTACACTGCTGCTTATAGAGCATAAATTGTCATGGCTTGGGTGCCACAAATCAAGATTTCCCCAGACTAGCCATCAACTTGAAGGTTTCTAAGAGTCTGTGCTGCAGCTGAGAAGAAGTACCAGTCCCTGGAGGCAAAGGGACTTTCCAGTCACCAGTGGAATTCCTTGTTTTAGGGTTTGGAGCTTTGACCGTTTGGTTTGGCCGGGGAGGTGCAAGGAGTTGAGAGAGGGCTGGATTAGTCTGTTACTCAGATGAGGGCATTCCCATTACAAATGGCTGTTAAAATTCATTATTTGCTTTCACTTGTTTTTGCTTTTCATGCCTACTGTTTTTTGAAGTGGGGAATAAACAGGTCAATAACTTCCATAGAAACTCTGCTGTGATACTCTCAGCAGATCCTCCTTCTGGGAACAGTTAAAACCGGTGGCCTCTTATTGAAATGCTGTATTTCTTGTATTTCTAAGCTTTGCTTTTTTTTTTTTTTTTTAAGCTTTCCCAATCTTAAAGACTGTGAATTGCAAGTTTTTTTAGAGCTCACAAAACAGGAGTCCTACAAAAAGTAGCCATATCTGTAGTCCTCTGTACTATTGGCTACTGCAGAAGCAGCAAAGGTATAAAGAAAAAAAATAATCATTGGCGGGGGGGGATTTTTAATTGACAAAATATTATTACTGTCCAGTTAGTTCATTTTAAAGATAAATCTTTAGATTTTGAAACACCCAGGCTGTGTTTACATTGCAGTGCAGTAAAAAAGTCACAGAAGTACCTTGGGACCAAGAACCTAGCTCAGCATGGTTGTGGGGTTCTCCTCTGCATAATTTAACCTGCTTCCTCATAGCCACTGTGCTGCCCAAGCTCTGGTGTTTCCAGTGCTCAGCTTAGCTTGACCTGAGGCAGATCAAGAGTTTCTACCCTGTGCAGCAAGAATTACACTTACTACAAAGCCTTCTGTCATTAGTGTTAGGCTCATACATATATTGGTGTAAGAGATATTTTTAGTTTGCAAGGAAAAAATGCCTTCCAGTTTGAGAAATCTAAAGCTGACCTGAAGAGAACCCAGTGATCCGGAGGGTACATCCATACTGAGCGCATGGCCCATGGGCTGAGCTGCGAGATAGGGAAACTCTTGATGTCTGGGTCAAAGCAAGCTTCTTCCATCTGGTTTTGCTCTAGGTGGCTGTTTGGTTGACATTTGTTTTAAAAACAAAATAGCACTGGGAATTCAGCTTGGGGGCTTTGAGAGGGAAAATAAGAAGAAAGCATGTCTTCCCAAGGGCAACCACTTGTTGCTGTGAAGGACTACCCTCTGTAGCAGTGTCAGCATAGCTTACAGGTGATCTAAAACCAAGAGGATCTCCCAGGTTAGTGCTGCAAGAACATGGCAGTTTGAGGACCTTGTTACAGCTCTTTGTTTTTTTCTTTTTGAGTATCACTGTTCCTCAGACAGTATGAGGATTTTGGTTTCCATTAATGTTATCTCAAGGAGGAAATAACCATGGCAACCACTACTGCTCTGCAGTTCTTTGCAAAATAAGTCTGTAACATGAGAATAAAGATTTGGAAGGCTTTTTTACTACCTTCCAAATTATTTTGCACATTCAGGTAAAAGAAAATAATCTCAAATACTGAGATTCAGTTAAGTCCCCGCTCACCCCCCCTTCAGGGCCATTTGGAAGATGGAGCAAAGAATTGTTGTATATAGGGGCATTTGGGAGTTGAAGGGGTATGGATGTGAGAGTTCAAGGAACTTGTCTATGGCAACAATGAGAGATACAGTATCATTCCGTTTCATTTAGGGTATTCTGAAAATCAATCTAGCAGTGGGTTTCCAGGTTATATAAAAAGGCACTTAAAGCATCATGGAAACAATGCTCAGATCAGCTGGAGTCTTTTTCTGTTAGAGCAGTAGAACCTGCCAGCCTTATTCTAGCACTTAGCCATCATCACGTCGCATCGGTTTCAGTAGGGCTTCAGTGTCTTTTTCAGCATTGTCCTTCAGCATAGCTTGCTTTCCTGAATTAAGATGCCAGAGAGATTCTCAGTGTAATGCTCCTGTTAATACAGGTAAGTAATGTTAACAGTCGGTGTTTTGATTCATGGTACTGTTTTTAAACTCGTTTCAGATGTGCCTTGCTTCAGAAGGAGTAAAAGTGAAAGAACCTGGGAAAACAAAAGTGGAAGCACTGGAAGATGTGGGAAGGGAAGTTCCAGAGGAAATGGAAGTAGAAGAACTGGAGAAAACAACAATAAAAGACTCCTGTAAAGGAAAAGTAGAACAGTCAGAGAGAGAGCAAATGCAAAACCGGGATGGGACAAAAGCTGAGGAATCAGAAACTGCCAAATGCAGAGATTTTACTAGTCTTGCAATGGAGAGCAGTCCTTTTGAGAGAAACGATAACACAAAGGACATGTGCTGTTCTCCAGAGCTTTCAATGGCTGACATGAGTATCCTCGGGCTAAAGCCAGAAAAAATAAAGAAGAAAAAGAAAAAAAATAAGTTGGACCGGCACTCAAACGAAAAATCCACCCCCAAGAAACCTTGTAAAAAGAGACAGTCCTCAGAGTCGGACATTGAGAGCGTAATGTATACAATTGAAGCCGTTGCAAAGGGGGACTGGGGTGCTGAGAGACTCGCGGAAACTCCCCGCAAAAAAACCCGCCCTGTCTCAAATGTGAAGGGAAGCGTGTTGGATACAAAATCACCAAAGAAAAAAGTGAAATCGAAAGAGAAGAAAACATCAAAGGAGAAACCCACGGAGACCACCAAAGAATCAAAGCCTCCTGATTTCCTTAGTATTGCAGCCAGCAAGGAAGTACCCTGCGAGGCTTCTGATAACATTAAAGTGGAACCACTGACCCCAACAGAGGAGGTGGTACCCCAGAGCTTACCAGGACAGGTCAAAACTGAGGACAGTGACTGTGTTAAAAAGATAGAAACCTGTGGCTCCAGGAAATCGGAGAGATCTTGCAAAGGTGCTCTTTATAAAACTCTGGTGTCAGAGGGCATGCTCACATCTCTGCGCGCTAACGTGGACAGAGGTGGGTGGCTTTGAGTGTTTCATTTACAGCATGAACCACAAAAGCCTGCCTGGAGTGGGAGAGAAAAGCAAAAGTCCATGTTTAAGCTGGAGTTTGAGCAGTGTGTGATGGGAATGCTGTGTCTGGTCGCCTGAGATGCTGGGGGCAGGTGGAGGGGACAGACTCCATAGTCCAGGACGGGTCTCCTCGAGTCCTGCTGCGACCCTGTCTGTGTTCCTACTTACCTCACGAGCTCTTAACCTCTGCCTTTTTGTCTTTCATGATCTGAGATTTAGCCTTTTGGACCAAAGGCTGTGTTGGTTAATTTGTTGGTCTGCTGATAAAATGCATGCAGCACTTGCGTTGTATGTAAACCCAAACAGTTAGCTTGTTTCTATATAAACAACTCTTGTGGTTGTGAGCATAGTTCTCAGTCCTGCAAGAGGCAAATGTGTGGTGCTTTTGCTTTGGTCGTTAGTTTTGTGAGAACCCTTCACCTTGTGGAAAGATAAATTTGAGATAATTTCTGGAACCTTTCAGTGAGATGTCTTGAAATGTATTTTTCTGATTAGTAGATTTATATGTGCAAGTAGAACTGGCAGAAAAGAAAAAGATGCTTGTAATTTAGGGAATTTTGTTACTCTAAATCTATTTGATCTCTTTCTCTTCCTTTATACCTCAAGAGATCCTGACTTTAGAGGTAGTATTAAAACCCCTGGGGGGGGAAGGCATAGTTGCCATTATCATAATTATATAGTTTAAAATAAATAAATAAATAAATGTTTTGTAACCCCTTCAAGAAGGTCAAAGCATCATAAGTTGCAGTACTGAATGGGGTACACAGGTTCCTTCTGAGCCCACTTTGTTTTGGCACATTTTTCTAAAGATGAGAAACAATTTTCTGCCTTCATCCCAGGAAAAAGAAGCTCAGGAAAAGGCAACTCCTCAGATCATGAAGGATGCTGGAATGAAGAAAACTGGGCTTTTTCCCAGAGTGGGACAAGTGGGAACAAAAAACTGAAAAAGCCTAAGCCAAAGGAAGAGTTTGTTTTCGGGTAAGTTGCAGCTTAACACTGTTCAAAGTTTTAGTTAGGTCAGCCTGGTCAGTTTTAGTTAGGTCAGCCTGGGTAACTTAAGAGCGAGTCCTTCTCATTGCAGCAAGCGAACTGCATCCAACACCCAAATAATCACAATTAGGCAGAATTCCTGAACATTACAAACCCGCTGGGCTGAGTCATGCTCTAGATACCTGTTGTTTATATACCCAAGTAATTCCTTTTTATACCTCAAGAGATCCTGACTTTAGAGGTAGTATTAAAACCCCTGGGGGGGGAAGGCATAGTTGCCATTATCATAATTATATAGTTTAAAATAAATAAATAAATGTATGTTTTGTAACCCCTTCAAGAAGGTCAAAGCATCATAAGTTGCAGTACTGAATGGGTACACAGGTTCCTTCTGAGCCCACTTTGTTTTGGCACATTTTTCTAAAGATGAGAAACAATTTTCTGCCTTCATCCCAGGAAAAAGAAGCTCAGGAAAAGGCAACTCCTCAGATCATGAAGGATGCTGGAATGAAGAAAACTGGGCTTTTTCCCAGAGTGGGACAAGTGGGAACAAAAAACTGAAAAAGCCTAAGCCAAAGGAAGAGTTTGTTTTTGGGTAAGTTGCAGCTTAACACTGTTCAAAGTTTTAGTTAGGTCAGCCTGGGTAACTTAAGAGTGAGTCCTTCTCATTGCAGCAAGCGAACTGCATCCAACACCCAAATAATCACAATTAGGCAGAATTCCTGAACATTACAAACCCACTGGGCTGAATCATGCTCTAGATACCTGTTGTTTATATACCCAAGTAATTCCTTTCAGATGTTTCCTGGTTTACACTACTGTAAACAGATTTGAATGACTTTATTTGCTTACTTCTAAAAAAAAAAACAAACACACACAGTATTTACCCACTCAAGAGGTGATGAAGAGGGTTATTTATATTTTCAGAGCACACAGTGTTTAAAGTTCTGTAGGTGTTCAATCATCATAAACAGAATTAGACTAGAAAGAATAGATCTCTTTGCCCATTTGGAGAGATTGCTTACAGAGGAAGAGTAAACAATGTTCTAATATTGGCAAATAATTCTGATAAATATACGATTTTTCCATTGTAGAGACAAGATAATTTAAACTGTTCATGTACACTGTGAAAACATTAAATATATCAGAAGAATAATTAATGATTACAAATGCATTAGAATTTAGCAAGGCCAAACAATTACTTTTCTAGTGTATGAATAACAATTTTTGTGCGAGTATTACAGATTTACTTAACTGCAGGCGTAGTTGTTAAATCTGCTTAGCCATTCATACTTACTTGCAAATTCTTGAAGACTTCCAATTATCTGAATTCAGAGGGTGAAAATGAATTAAAAAGGAGTAGATTTTTCACACTGTGCTTAAAATTGTAATGTGTTTCTTTTGTACAGGCTTGCGGTAGCCTTTTTTATAACCTAGCTATGTGAGATTTAGCTGCAGCTCACTTTACAGCAAAGATATTAGATTGATGAAAGTCTCCGAGTCTTGTTTGCTTGGAATAGTCAAGAATTAATGGAACGCTTCTTGTATTTTTAGTGCACTCTATATAAGCTCAGTAACTATTGCTTAAATTGAAAGATTGAAAACTTTTTGCACCTAGTGGTGTGAAAATTGAATGCATCTCCTAGCCAAAAAAAAGAAATGTAGTTACAAATGATTTATTCAAAGTAGCTAGGAAAATTGTGTAAATAATTAATTAATTTGGCGAATACTGTTCTACCATCATTAGCTGGCTGGATGGGGAAAATACATATTTGCCAATCTTGCTTCTTGATTCAGTCGTGTCGTTAATGAATATTATTTAGTGAACTCCGTAAAGGCAGAATCAGTAATTTGTGGAGCGTAAGCACTGGAGAAGGTATCTGTTACCCCTGTTCATTGCACTGCCTGGTCTTCTGGCTACTTGAAGAGCTGGTTTTACCTCTGCCTGCTCCTCCTAACTCTCTGCTCCTTTCAGCATCACCTTTCAACCTCATTTTGCGTGTGTGTGTGTGTAGGGGTGAGGGTCCTCACCCCTTTGGAATTACCTCTTTCTCCCCATGTCCTCTTACCTTCTTCTCCATCAGTAGTTGCCCTCAATGGTCCCTGTCAAGTGTGCTTTGTCCATGTGCAGCCCAGTCCTTTGCTGAGCCAGCGCTCTGCCTGCAGTCTCCTGGCAGGACTTGGCTGTACAGCACAAAGACCTCAGCTCAGCTGCGTGTGTCTAACCAGGCTTCTGAGATGCTCTGAAAATTCATGACAATGTGAATGATTTCTCTTTTTTTATTAAATGATTAATCGCTGACATAGTAATAGCAGTCACTTTCCACTGCCTCCATGTCGCACAAGCTATAAATTACTATCCAGGATGGCAGCTCGTCTTGTTTTCAGGGTAGGTCCTTCCTAATTAGAACTGCAGCCCCTCATATGCCCTTGGGGCAGGAGATGAGGCAGGTGGCAACAGGCAGTAGGAGAGGAGCTGGGGCAGAGGATGGAATTGCATGACAGCTGTCAGAGCAGAAAATTGGCTTGTTTTGTGGTTGTGAGGGAACATCCATGTGGAAGAGAAAGGTAGCAGTACCAAGCACCACTAATGTCAGCCATCTCTGTTACTTAAAAACAAAACAAAGCGTGTGCACATGCACACACAAAAAAACAAACAAACAAACCCCACCATGCACACAGTCTGCCAAGAGCTATGGCTGTATTTTAAGATGGAAGATTGCTTACCAAAAGAATTAATGATTACAGAGATAAAATGAAGTATCATTCTGTGTACCAAAGCTTTCAGAATGCAATTTGTTTGAAGTGCTGCTTCAGTGAACAAAGGGTAATGCTGCGTTTCTTGTGATACATCCAAGTGTACAGTGCGTAAGGGCCATCTTTCCAGCAGTCATGCCAACTTCTGTCAAGTTCAGGTTTTTTCTGTAGCAAACAGAATTAAAGACAAGTAGAAAATGTCATTGTTCCCCTGTCGTTGATGGTGCTATTTATAATCCGCCTAGCTGTGTGCGCTGCCTTTCATTAAAACACAATTCCTTCCTGTGCTCCTGCCTGGCTGCAAAAATTTGCTGGAACAGAGTGCTTATACAAGACAGCATAGTCATTAAAGCCAGAAATGCCATGCCATACCATACCATCCTGTTTGAGGGGTTTGTTTTCATCTGGCTGTTAGGAACAACAGTACCGTGACTCTGGATTTCTGGAGTTGTAGGTAATCTAGTCACAGTCATTCAGGTTGGGCTGAAGTATAGAATCATAGAATGTTTTGGGTTGGAAGGGACCCCTAGAGGTCATCTAGTCCAACCCCCCTGCAGTGGGCAGGGACACCGCTAACTAGATCAGGTTGCTCAGAGCCCCGTCCAACCTGGTCTTGAATGGTATGAGGGATGTTGAGTTTCCTGAAAGTATAAGCCAGTTGCATTTTTCATCTTGCAGCAAAGAAAATAGGAGGGGAGGAAATATAGTCACTCAGAGCAACTATAAAGCTAATTCACACCCCAAAGCATCAGGTTTTAGAATATCCCCAGAAGATTGAATAGTTTGACATTTCTCTTCCGGTTTGAATTTTTGTTGTTTTCATTCCGGTGTAAGGACTTTTATGTGAAGTTATTTTATTGGTTTGTTTATTTATTGGTTTTATGGTCTTTTTTTCATTCCCCTCACAGAACAGACAAATCTGTACGAATTGTGCAGCAGGCAGAGCTACATGTCACCAGTGTGACACTGATATTTTTTTTCTTTTCCTAATTTTAATATATGCAACTAATTAATTAATTTGTACTGAGTTACAAATGCAGAAGCTGGAGTGTACATTCTCATCCCAAAGTTGGATTAATATATACTAGTTTGATGTTTACAGTGTGTGTGCGCTTATCTCTTTCCCACTCTCTCTGTGTAGATAGGTATGTATATACACTCACATGCTCCTAAACAGTATATTTTTTTTCTCCAGAAACGGAGTTAAGTTTAATTTGGTTGGTTCTGTTTCCCCTTTAGCTTAGCAAAGTTGGAAGAAGAATTTGAAAAGAAATTCAACAGCCTCCCTCAATACAGTCCTATTACCTTTGACAGGAAAAATTCAGCAGTTCCAAGGAAAAAGAGAAAGGTTGGAAGCGGCTCATCTGAACAACCAAAATCCAACAAAGGTAAATTACTATGTGCAATACGTTCTTAAGCAACGACAATGCTACGACAAGCTCAGGAATTTATACTTTCTTACTTTACTGCTATATGTGAAAAGTGTGAAGTCAAAGAAAACATTTTTCCAGCACTGAAGTTAGCTGGTTCTCACCTGGGTTAGTTTTTCAGGCTGTACTCTTGACTCCTGATTTTCATGCTGAGTAGAACTGGTTAGAGTTTATAGATGAAATATATTCCTCATAGCAACCAAATTTATGAAAAACATGAATATTTGTGAGGTAAGTGAATTTGACAAGTTTTCCCAGGAGAAAATGGGGAACAAAACGGCAGATGACCAATTTTGACATTTTTCAAAACGTAGTTTTTTGCCAGTTTGCATTTCACTGTAATTTTAGCGTCTATAAACTAAAGGATAAGATACTGGAGATGTCTGAATGAAACATTTGGATTTTTTTTTCAAGATTTTAACTCTCTATTGTAAGTTTGGAGCAAAAATGTCCTGACGTGATAAAAAAAGATTAGAGGACAGGAAAACCCAATTCCATATCCAGCTCCATTGCTGAAGTCTGGGAGGGAGAAACTGATGACATGTTTGGCTGTTTTATATACAAACCACCTGTGACACAGGGGTGGCAGAAAAGTGAGAATATGGTAGGGAAAACCCCTTTTAGACTGTGGCAGAAATAGTGATGTGTATATGCAGTACAGAAGCATCACAAAATGAAGGAATGACCTACCAGTAATTCTACAAGATAAAAGGATGCTCGAAAGAATCCTCGTTATGCACAGTTGACAGTGTGAAGCTGGTTTCCTTTCTGCTACTATGATAGTTCCGCTGACTGACAGGTTTTCAGATCTGATACTGCTATTTTAGCCAGGTGACCCTGGATTAGATCTGTGCCTTTTGAATGCTTCACGAATAATCACATTACAGTATGCAGGATTGAGCAGCTGGTTTTTTTTCTAGTGCATGCCAATTTTGGTATTGATTTTTGTATTTATATAATTAGATGTGGAACAGTCACTTTTGCAAAATTAGACTTGTGCTAATACCAAGTGAGTTCTGACTTCAAATGCCTTTCATTTTTTTTTATGGTATATATTTGACAGAACTTCTTCAGTGAGCATGAATGAATTGCTTTAACCACAGTATTATCATACTGTAATTAAGCAACATCTGTTGAGAACAAGATCTCCTCATCTACTGTGATCTGGCAGTTGAAGTTGTAATAGCAGCTCCTTGGATTTCTCGCTACAGTATTTGCCTGTTCAAGTGTCTGTATGTCTAAAAAATTTGCAGGCCCGACGTTGTTTGGGAATGGCATGCTAGAATGCTGCCTCAGGTCAGGTAGCCCAGAATGGCGTTCTGCTTTTGGCTAGGTTCATATGCAAGAGCTTAATTTTTATCCTTGTTTGCATCACTTAAAAAAAAAAAAAAAGCTTGGAAATATATTCGGCCATGTCTCACGGGAAGGTCAGAAACATAACTGCAGCCACGTTACAAGCCTGATACAAGTAGTTTTGGCACAGCCCGGCAGAGGAGGCCATGGAGCATTTGCCTCTAGTTGGTAATAAGGGCTTTGTAAACTACGCCAGCTGACTTTGCACTGAAAAGCAGATGGTAAACAGTCACAAGAACTTTTCCACCAACCGAGCTGTGGGGTTGCAACAAGCAGCCCCAGGGCTGGAATGTCTGATCGTGACACTGCTGTCTCTGTAGTGAACATCTAACCGCAGCCCTGAACTAAATCCAGGCGGAGCTAGTGATATCTGCTCCTAATTTCAACAAATGTTGAATTCACTCAAGTTAGCTGGGCGAGCTGTCAGCTTGTGTCCATCATTCCAGCTCCCTGGAGAGTGAAGTTCAGTTCTCAAGAGGTAGCTGAAAAACTTTCCGACAAACCATTTTTCTTCTGGAAAAGAAAGATTGCTGAAAAGTAAATATTCCATGGCAATGGGTCAATTTTAATTTGTTTTGTTAGGATGCTTAAAATTAGGATGCGACTGTAGATTTGAAACGATCTGAACCAAATTGCATACAAGCAGGCTTACTAGCTTAGTAGGGAAACTGTTCCAGCTGAGCCAAATATTCATTAAGCTGAATCCTCGATTTAATTTGTGGTGCACTGACAGGCCATTCAGCCTTGGCATGCTGTTGGCTTGCCTGTGAACTGTGATGAGACCAAGAATAGTTAAAGAATACTGACCTCCAAAGGTGTTAAGCATACAGGTCTGCAAACTAGGCTCCTGCGAGTACTGCAGGAAGTGGAAATGGCATATTGTGCAAAATGATAGAGCTTGGTTTGGAATAGTTCTGGGGTTTTTGAATTATCGTGGGGTTTTACACCATCAGAATTAAACAAAAGTAACTTCTTATTCATGCAATATGATGAGCGTTAACTTAGGGCCAATATAGTCTTATGGGTGTGACTGTGTTGGGATGCAGGAGACCTTAACTTTGCTCTGCTGTGCTCTGCATTACCGTGTTGTGTGGAGTTGTTTCTGCTGCTTTGCTCTTCCTTGGGGTTGTCTCTGTAAGGTAATTATAAGAGATGCCCAGGACAAATAGTGTCTACTAGTGGTTGGGGCCTCTGGATGTTTCCAGACAACGGATAATAATCACTAAGGGTAGGTTTATTAAACACCTAAATCATTCCCTGCTTTTTCTGAATGAGCATGTGCAGGACCATAAACTTCCCAGGCATTCTCAGTTCTCAGATAAGTACTTAATTTTTGCAGTCTACAGATCAGTGCCTACTAAATTATGTTTAAAATTTGGAAAATAGGTTGAAGTGCTGCACACTAAAACTTTCCCAGGATGTTAGGTGAATAAAAATGGAGAAATGCTTTTGTTTGTTGGTTTTGGGCTGTTTCCACACACACACACACTTCCCTATAGCTAGGGCTGTATGCCTTAATATGCTTTATTTTGGAATAAATGGTGCCAGACTGATTTTTCTGTCAAATGTCATTAACCTATACCTACAGGAGTCCTGATCTGCTACCTAACCCAAGCAGCCAGGATTGTCAGGATGTTTTCCTACTCCTAAGTAGAAAATTAGTGGGTTCAGTGCCCACTGACTTCTTCCATTCTGCTTGTCATGTCCGGTCCTCACTTCAGCCAGTTCTTCTCATATAAAAACACCTGAAGAACCCTGTAACGTGAAAGCTGTTCCAAATCCGCATGTATAAGGGAAAATTTGAACTTTCTTAAATAAGAGGCAGTTTTTTTCCCCAGAGCTTTCCAAATTGTCCAGATTCTGCTCCCACTGGAATTAACGTGGGTCTTTCTTCAGTGGGACCAGGACTGAACAAGTCATAATGCTTTGGCAAATTCTGCCATAAGCATTTTGAACTGGGAGCATGCATATACAATAATAATGTCACAAAATGGCTGAAAAATACAGCTATACTGAATCTGTGCAGATGGCCTGCTCCGACATTTGCTGGAGCTGTGACTGATTTCTTTTTTTTTTTTTTTTTTTTTTTTTCCCCCTCCTTATTTCCAATGGCATATGTGCCGAAACATCCCACCACACAGAAGTCAGCAATCTGCAGTGAGTCACTAATCCCCTTGTATGCAAAAATGAGCAACAGGCATAGTCATTATTTCTGCCTTGTGCTGTGAAGAAATGCTCACTTATACACTAAGCACTTCACTAAAGCTTTCATTTTGGGAAGGCAAGGAGAGGAATGCATAGTGTGCTTTTATTTGGGAAAGGGATTTTATATATTTTTTTTTTTTGAGTCTGTGGCCTCTAGGACTAGAAATAAAGCATCAGCTTAAAATGGATGCTTCTTTGTGGCATTCATCTTGGTCTTAGCTCAGGGGGCTTTTGGCTCAGTTCAAAGCATTCAGATGCCTGGAGATCGCATACTGTAATGTTCCAAAGATCATGACCTATAAAGTACAGCATCTTCCTCCTGAGAGATGCAGAAATGCACAGACAAATCTATTTGTCCTGATTTTCTTACAATTACATTGAAGTGTTCTGTGTTTGATCAGGCCCTTTAAAACAGGGAACTTTGTGAGAGCAAAGGGGGCATATGGCCAGAAATGTGGAGGAAATGCAGTTATGTGGGGTTTTTTATGTATGGTGGGTTCATTTTCTTGCTTGCTGCTTCCCCGAGCAGCTGCTGTTGGCCATAGTCAGTATTCCCAGGAGGAAATCCTTTCCGCCCTCAGTCAGCGCAATGGACAAGCCAGGGATTAGCAGGCAGTTAAATCCCGTGGCAACTGCTGAAGTGCTAGGGAAGGGAAGAGCTGTGCAGAATATTTCCAACAGAGAATGATGAGCAGGAGGAAAGGACTTTACGCTTGCAGATGGCTGTATAATGATAGCAAGTAAACGAACATTAAAAGGTCTTTTTTTTCAGCTTTCTATAGGAAATCACATCCAGGGTCCACTGCCTAACAGCAAGCCTTTTAGGGTAGTTAGTTTTTTCAGTCATGGATTTTCTCTGGACTGAATGTTGACAAGTGGCATTTGTTTTGAAGTCTTGGAGCACTTGCCTGCTGTCTATTAAAAGAAAAGCTCTGGTTTTCATACCTGAATATGCCTTACTCCTTATGAAAAGGCAGCTTCTCTTTTGACCCCACTGAAGTCAATGTCCTTGGATTTTCCATTTGGGAGCCAAATTTTACATGAAAGTGGCATGTGCCTACATGTTGCAGATATAAGCTTACGATGGAGGTGCCTTGGGTGGCAGAAAAGAGATGAAAGACACAGGTTTCCTTCTTCATGCAGTGCTTGTCATCTTTTTGTGAGTTTTTCATCTCAGTTATTCTGCTTAGACTGTCAGCTAACACCAGCAACTCTATGATACCGATTGAAATGGTCTATAGATTGCAGGTTGAGAAGTAGAAATGGAGACTTCTGTGATAGATACTATGGAACATGTTGCTTATTTCAAGCACCTGCAAAAATCACTAATTTGTTAATTTTAAAAAAAAAAGTAATAAAAATGCTATAAGAATAATCTAGTTGCATACCTCCGTCTCTGTCTTCTTGTGGAACTGTTGTGGGAAGACTTGTCTCGATGCGGATGAAGTGTTTGACCTTAGTCTTCAGAAAAGTTAATTTTTTTCACTTAGGCTCTCCCTCAACCTGCCTGAGCTTTTTCATTCATTGTTTTGCAGTTTTTTTGCACTGACACTAGACTGCTTATCCAACTCTGTGACACTCAGGAAGCTATTGTAAAATTTGCAGAATGACACTTGAATCAGTTTGAGTGAATATGGCCTCTTCTATTGATATTTTCTGTGCAAGTTCTTAATGAAGCTATTCAGATTCAAGCTGGTGTTGCCTAAGATGGTGTCTCACTTGGACTTTAATTGGTTTGTTGTTTGACTTCTAGATTTTGGGGAGATTATTAATGTTTTCCCAAAGTTTTGGTTTCTTCAGTAGTAAAAAACAAGCAGCAGTGAGCCACAAAGTTAACATGTACAAAATCTTAGGGTTTCTATGCCTATTTCTGGCTGGATTTTAGCTTTCAGTAATTTTTAATGTTATTCAAACAGCCTAGTGTCTATGAATGGTTTTCCCCTCATAAGGCTAGATCCTTCTTCCACATGCTACACATACTTTTCTCCCTCTTCCCTCACATGTAGAAAGTCAGTGATGGCAAATTGCAAGTGCGTGATGTAGACTTACCTAGATCGCATGTTACTACACGGTTGCAATTGTGTCTCAGTAGTCAATCATAGAATCATTTGGTTGGAAAAGACCTTTAAGATCGAGTCCAACCGTACAGTGTATGTGTTTGGTTCCTTTTAAGGATGAGGAGGAGTGGAGGAGGCTGGTATTTGTGGTGGGTCGAATTGTGTTCCAAGTCAGCTGCAGAGGGGAAGGACACCCTCTTGTTAGGCTATAAGCTGTCTTGTCCCCTGCAGTGCATCTCATTGCTGTTTGGGCAGGTCTGTTCTTAGCTAGCCTGAAGACTTGCTTGCCTGCTGCATCTTTGGAAATAAGATTTTAAAGTACAGTTTCTGAAAAGTAACTCCGTAAAAATGTCTTTGCAGTATAGAGGTTATACATCTGTTATATATTTGGTCTGTTACATCTTATGTTGTTGCTGTTTACTCCATTACTGAGACAAAAGGATGGCTTCTTGATGACCTTTGCTAGTGGCATACTTCTTAGATGTCTTCTGACTACTACTAGCAAAGACTCTGCTATCAAAGTGGGAATGATACTATGAGCTGGACATAACCTCACCTTCCTCTCCTGGGAGCTTTTACTTCTGCACTCAGTATAAACTCATTTCTGGTCACCAAAAAGGCAAAGGAAACTCTTGCCTCCTGTGGTGGGTTGGCCCTGGCTGGTAGGTAAGCCCCATCCTGTCACTCATTCACCCTCTCTGGTGGGATGGCGGAGAGAATTGGAAGGGCAAAACCAAGAAAAAAACCTCATGGGTCAAGACAAAGGCAGTTTAATAAGTGAAAGAAGGTGGGGAGAAACAAGTGATGCAAAAGCCAGCACTCACCACCAAAAAACTGATGTCTAGCCAGTCCCTGAGCAACTTTGGGGAAGAAAAAACCCACTCCCCCTAGTTTTATTGCCGACCATGACGTTATATGGTATGAAATACCTCTTGGTCAGTGTGGGTCAACTGTCAGGACTATGTCCCCTCCCAACCCCTGGTGCACCCTCAGCCTACTCGCTGTGGTGGCAGAGTGAGAAGGAGAGATCTTGATGCTCTGTGAACACTGTTCAGCAGTAACTAAAACATCGGTGTGTTACCAACACTGTTTTGGTCACCATCAGGCTGCTATGAGGAAAGTTTACTCCATTCCAGCCAAACCCAATATACATCCAAAAGAAAGCATATCTTTAAATAAACAAGCAAGCAAGCCCCTTGTTTTATTGTATGGCTAAGCTTTTCTAAGCTCATCATTTTCCAAAATGCTTTGTATGCACTTAAGCATTGGGAGCTGATGGGTTGAAGGTACAGCCTGCTGAAAGCTTCCAGAGGCCATGCTGGCGGAAGGTCGGGTTTTGTGCTTCCCCATGAAATGGCATCCTGTATTAGTGGAAGGGGAGGTTGTATAGTACATACTATGACTGTTGTACTCTTTTTAAAACTGCTAATTAAAAGTATGTATTATTAATGTTGTCTGTAGGTTCATTCCAGTCTCAGAAAAAGAACTTATTCCACAAAATTGTCAGCAAATGTAAGCACAGGAAGGAGAAGCTTAATGTTCCGGACACAGGTACTGGTGCATTACTTAGTAAGGTTTTGGGCCGCCTTCTCTCTCCATTCAGTCTTGGGGAAATGCTTCTACACAGAGGCTACTCCGCTCTCTAGTCTTTGATTGCTTTGGTCCCTTATTTCCCTGTCTGCTTTGATTCCATTAGCTCCTGGCTCCAGTTCATCATATTACCTTATTTCAGTATGATGCTGGTTTGTTTTTAATTGGCATCTCCTTTAACTACAGCTTTCCTACTCCAGACACCGTGCAGCAGAGCTGACAAAGCAAGGGCAGTTCTGCAGTTGGCCCTGAACTCTTTATCTTCCACAGCTTGTAGCTCTTTAATCCTTTGGTTCCTCTCCTCTCCATCCCTTATATATCAGAGACCATATTATTTATCCTTTTGCCAGAACATTTATCCATGTCCCTATCTGCTCTCCCTGTGGTTTCCCACTGTCTAGAACTTTGCAGGCTGCAGCTGGTTGGGATGTAAGAGCTTGTTTCTGCAGCAGATCTCAGAAATACTAACCTAAACCAACCCTCCCTCTGTAGAAATCTTAACCAGCTTTCTGTTTGCCTCAGATTAAAGATAACTTGACAGTTTTCAAGTTATGTCCTGGACTTGCTCTGCCTGACTTGCTGTGACTTGTTCTGCTGGTAGCTCTCCAAAGTCTTTTTCTTGTTATAGTATTGTGGTCCTGCATACCTACATACTCTCAACTCTGAGGGGCATTTTCAAGAGTACAGTATGTACAGGATTATAGCTTAGGCTGCTTCCCTGGGCCCCCCCTTTTTTTTTTTTTTTCTTTTTTTCCTCTCCTTTTGTAGTCATGTTGCCCGCACTATCTATCTAAATCATGCCCAGGCTGTTCTTTAGCCCTTCCACAGCAGAGTTCTCTCCCACATCATCCCTGTGGTGTAGAAGAGCCTCTCTGGTTCTGCTTACTTAGGTAGCTCCATGAACTTCTTCCATTTTTTTCCTCATCCGTATCTGTCTCTTTTTAAGAAAATAAAATTACCATCCCCATCTCCAGTTCCCCCAGCCTTTTTTATGCTTAACGTATTTCCCTAAGGCTTGGCCATGTCATTTCTCTCCTTCCCTGATGCTATGTTTTATGTCTTCTGTGGTGCATGTGCAGTTTTCCCACATAGGCTCTGCCAGCTCTGCTGCATTCAACAGTGCAAATATTTTGAAATTACTTGCTCTGTTATGTTGTATTTGTACAACAAACATGTTGTGGGAGTCGCTCATGAGAAGGAACTGTCTTGCTTCCATGTCTGTGTGAAAAAGGCATCATACATTAACATAGCTTGTATTGAGTGCCAGTCAGGTTTTTGTCCCTGAATTATTAATAGACAGTGATTGGTAAGAAAAATGGGTGTTTAAATTCTCCTATGGGAAAAGAAACAGAAAGCATTTAATACATGATGGAGTAAAAAACACAAATACCTTAAAATCTGCAAATGCAAAGTGTGGCTAAACAAAATGTCAAAAACCTCCATTTGATTAAAAGAAACCAGCCTGTTTTGATAGAAAGTAAAGTGTGCACTATGATCAAAGATTCAAGCCTGGCAAGTGTTGAGTACCCTGGCCTCATTCCAGCACAACAGAGGCATGTCCTTGGAAGTTAAGCATGTGAGTAATGTCATCGTGTCTAAACATTAAAGATGTGTCTCTGCATTTGCTGGAGGAAGGCCAGTTTGCTAAGTTCCTCCCAAGATTGAAGCAAAGGCACAAGGAACTTACCAGTCTTACACAGCCCACATAGAAGTCATCAAAGGAAAGACAGTGTGTATAAATATATATTGGTGGGGAACTACATTTTCTCTGAGTTAAAGGGGGGAAAAATCTGGGGTCTTGCCTACTCTTTAAGTGTACTGTGTAGTGACACTGAAAGCAGAGCGTTGATCAGCACAGCGCAGTGTGGGTATGGCCTTGGCAGGCGGCCTACAGCCTCGCCATCATGTGCTGCCTGCGTAACTTCATCCTTTCGTGAATTCCTAGGCAGCGGGGCCCTAAACTCTGTGACTCCACCCTCCCATATTTTGCAGCATTCAAGCTGGGAATCCCAGCATCTTCATTTCAATTCAAATATACAAGAATTTAGTGAACCGAGCACTAAAGGAAAATTTCAGCTCCTTTTTGTGGTTAGTCTATACCTGTGGTGAGTCACAAGTCTATAGTGTGTGGTTTGGGTTTTTATGGAGTTAATTTTTCTGGGGGAAGGAGGTTGAATATTCTTACAGCTGGAGAGGAGACACTTGGAAGGGTTGCTGTCAGCAGAGGTCACACTGGATTCATGTTTTGTTGTCTTGAAAAGTGTGTGTTCCTGTGTGCATCTGTGTTTTGAATGAAGAAAGGTGCAGTAAAGTCAAATTTTGGTGTGATTGGATCATGTTGTCTGACTCTGTCTCTGGTTTGAGTATCTGAGTGAATCTCGACTCCTTTGTGACCACATCGTACACGGCATCACCAGTGCAAATCACCATATTACAAGTTTGCAGGTGTTTATAGAGATAGGTACAGCCCAGTAAAATACCAATGGACGTGCCACAACCCCTGCTGCTCCCAGCAGAGAGCACGCAGTAATGCAACTGAGTATGGTAAGAGATACGTCGCTTCCTTAGGAAGGCTTGACAGCAGCACAGCTGGACCCATCCCTGTTTGGGGAGGTTGAACACCACTCAACTGAGAAATGTATTTTCTGCCACACTGTCAAGGCTCTCTGGTGGGAAGTGTTACTTTAAATAACAAGGGGTAAATCACAACCATAGATTCCCTGCAGGTGCATTTAGTGAATTGTGCTGAGGGCTCTTGGCATGGTTTGTCTAAGAACCAGATGCAAAGCTGGCCTTTGCACCAGAAAGGGAGAAGAGGAGATGAACATATTTACCAGCCTCAACACTAGCTGATGTGCAAAGGAGCCCCCTCTCCTGTGGCTAGTAGACCTAACTGCCTGCTACTGATCCTCCACGATCCTCCATCAGCTCTCCCACACGCTACTGATCCTCCACAATCCTCCATCAGCTCTCCCACACGCACATCAGTCTGTACAGCCTTAGTACGTATGTTCTGAGCAAAAGCAGAAAGTGCCGAAAATGAGCAGAATGTTGTTTTGGTTTGGTGGTTTGGGTTTTTTTTTCCTTGCTGAGAAAGCCCTGGTATGTGGGGCTGTCCAGAGGGAGCCAGCAGTCTGTGCCACTGTGCCTTTGGCACACGTCCAGGCTGAAAGAGGGCTGCGTCAGCACAGGCTTGTGCAGCAGAGCTTCCCATCCAGGCAGCTGTTCCATACGCCTGGCTTGACCATCTGCAGCTCTGTCAGCTGGTGTCTCTCTGCCCTTGCTGCAGCTCCGTGCGTACCGCCTGACCCCACGAGTGGCATTGCAGCAGCATCCCATTGTCAGAAGAGCTGGAATTTCCACCAGGATATAGGTCAGGGCGTCACTTCCTTGGTGGAATGTTTCCCCAGGCACTGGTGACTTGAAGCTTTGCTCTGCCTTGCTAGGCTTCCCCATTTTAACTTCATAAAGACTACTAAAGCATTACAGCCTACCTTTCTTTCTTGATACCAGCATGCTTAGACCCAGAGAGCGTTCATTCTCCATTAAATGTGGTTGAACTTCTTCAGCGTGCTCTCGTAACAGATAGGCATTGCTGAAGAAATTATTTTAAATCTGTCTGAAGAAATTCTTTTAAATCTGTCTGTACTTGCTGGGGTTCAGTTTGAAAAGCTTGTCCTCTTCTGTGGTGTGCTGTGTCAGGCCAATTTACTTCATTTTTCTTGTTCACAAAGATGGAGGGGAAATAAGACTACCTGTACTCTGCATGCCTGCAGAATAGGGTAAACTGTCCGTGCTAACTTTTAACAAATCTAGCTCAGGAAACCATCTGGCATAGAGCTCTAGATGTTTTTTCTCTCAAAGTCATTTTTGTCACTGTGGTGTAAGCATGCCAAAAGGCCCACATCTCCATATCATGTGCTCAACTCTGCTTGCAAAAATAGCCCTGTAGTTCTGCATGTGCTGCTGTCATGTGGAAAGCTAACGACATAAATACCTGTTTGCAGGACCGCACACTAGCTGCAGAACCTCATTTCATTTCTAGACAGCATTCTTCTGAAAATTAGCTGAGCTCTACATGGGACAGCTCTTGAACACAGGACTCTGTGGACACAGAAGGGATGTGAAATGGATTAAAGAAATTATTAAAGGAAAATACAGGGAAATAAACTTGTCTAGCCCTGTCCTTTCTGCACAGTAAAACAAGAGTCCTGGTTTGGAGCATCCGTATGGATATACCTTTTTTTCAGTTGAAGCAATGGGGTGCTGTTCCTCTTGATGAAGGTGTGGGAGGACCCCTATTAGCACCTAGCTTAGCTATATGGTTGTTGAAGCATGGACTCCTTTCTCCTCTGGAGTTCAGTGCAAAGGGTCTTGTGAGTGAAGCCTTTGTGCTATTTCCTCCAAGTTAGGTTTTATATCTGCTTGAATAATAAACTGTAAATAAGTCAATGAAATTATTTCTTATCCCAACGTCTGCTAAGACTGGTAGAGAAGAAAAAAGCAGCTCTTCCCTTCAACACCCACCCTCCACCCCCACAAAAAAATACTCATTCTTTGTTGGCCTTTAATCCTTCCTTCTTCAAAACTGTACGGAAGCACAGCAATGTTATGATGAAGTGATAAAGAACTTACTTTAGAGCCGGAGGAGGAAACAAAGTAGAGGACTCTGAAGTCTCATTTTAAGGATTGAAAAACCTTAAAACATGGAGAGGATATACACTTGCTCCATCCTGAGTTTCTCAGCCACCTTCTGCTATTTCTTAGTCAAACACGTCAACATCATATGCTCCTTCTTATGTGTTTAATAACTATTGCCTTTTTTTATTTTACCTTTCAAGGTTTTTCTTATCTTTAATTTCTTGAGCTTTTTGAAACATACAAGATGAGCAAAACCAAATGTAAATGGGAACTGTCTACTGTAAAGAAAACCCAAAAGTTACTTGGACTACTAAAGTTAAAGCCATTATAAACTCAGTCAAACTAGAATTAAGCAGCACTGTCAAAGTACTATCTAATTAGAGCAAATGCCCAAATCAGAATTAACAAATAGTGTTGGACCACAACCAAGCCGTTACATTAATACATAATCAATGCTTATGAATTCCCAAATAAGAAATCTAGAGAGAAAGCTGCCCATTTAATTATACATTCCAATTAAGATTTTGGTCTCAGTCAGCTTATCTGAGCATCTCGCTATCAGCCCAATTGAGTTACTTGAAAGTCACATTTGCGGTAGTTGGTGCTTCTGCTTAATTGGACTGTTACGGGGCAGATCTTTTCTTGTGATTTCTCTTGCTCTCTTTACAAAAAGTAAGTTTTACAGCATGGCTCTGCTCTGAAAAGGTTAGCAGCTATTGATAAACACTGAGAAAAGCTAATTGAAGCCATGTGCTTTTTTTCAAAATAAAGACCATGCACAAGTTCAAAAATGTTTTACGAGAGAAGAAATGAAGGTGAATTAAGAACATAAATGAATTAAAGTTTGAAACATTTCCAGATGTTTTTACACATATGTACTAGATCTGATTGTATTCTTATGCCATAAAACATTAAAAGGTCCCTTCCCACTTACGAGCAAAGGGCAACAGCTAACAAAATAAAATGTGTTACAGCTATTCTCTTCACCCAGTCTACATCCTCACACAGTTAAAGAAGCTAGCAAAAGATGGAGGTTATATTAGCCATATCTTTGAATAGGAAGCTCATTAAATATACAAAACAAACAATAAATAAACAGTAAATATGCACTAAAATGAAAGGGGGTGAAGTCCACACAGACTGCTTGGCTGTTGTGCATGGCTGGTGGAGTTGGGTGCTCCTGCGTGACACCATGAGTCTCAGTGTAGGAGGTAGGTCTTGTTCAGTACTGAGCCCTTCTGAAAGAGCAGTTGTATGCACTCCGGCTTGAGTTTTGTGCATGTAATTTTTGCAGAAAATGAGCAAATGGGTCTTAAACATATCTTTAAAACGGGAAGAAAGATTCAAAGAAATTATGGGGAAGCGCAAGCTAACTGTAGACATAGTAATAGCTGTGAGATATATAAAGGACTGTTGCAGAGATGGGGTATAACCTGACAGGTAGCAAAAAATAAAACAAGTTGAAAATGCAGCAGAGGAGATAAGGTGCAGGCATTAAGAAAAAAATATGTAATCATTCAGGGTGGCAGTGCACTGGGAAAAATGCCCCAAGGACTTGGTGCAGATGCTATGAATGCTCCCAATTTCAAAACAGGTTAGACAGATATCTGTAGGAAATGACTTGGGCATTCCCTTTGCTACCTGTAGTCTCTTTCTAACCCTAGTTTAACAGCGATCACAGCTGGGGTAGGCCTCATAATACTTTTATCACAGGAGGAAAAAAGATGTCACATTGAATTTATGGACTAGTGATACCATATGGTATCAGCAGTATGGCTTATGAAATCGATGGAAATTACAAACGGTTGACGACTACACGCTGATCTCAGACTTTGGAAGCTTAAATGTATTTTGTGATGGCTGCCTGACCAGTTTCTTCGTGAACCAGATTAAAGTGACTGTTCAGTCAGGTGAAAATTTGTGGTCGTGTTCCAGTTCAGGGCAGAAGGCTACTTCAAAGCGCCAACACTGGCACTGTTGAGAAAGACTCAAACTGTTCCTTTCTCACTCTGTGAATTTATGTAGGCAGTATTTCCGTCACGGTATCCCGTGCTTGCTTTCTTTTTTTAGCATTCTCGTCTTCAACTGTGATCCAGCTCTGCTTTTGTATTTTCTGCCTTCTGGGTGTTTTTTAAGGTTTGTTGTTTTGTAAAAGGCAGTATTTCCCTCTGCTTACAAGGCAATGTAGAGTGACTATAGAGGGAAGACTGGGGGGGTTGTTAGGAATTCCTGAATTCTGCTTGTGAGTCCGTTTGTGAGTTGAGATAAGCTTATTTGAGGACCGTTATTGTTCCTTAAATGCATTTGGACTCTTAGCTACTTGCTGGCATCTTCTGTTGCAGAGTGTTTTATACAGACTGGTTGATACCCTGCTCCCACTGAAGTGCTACTGCCCATCTCACAATTTTCTTTGCAAATACTAGAAACTTGAACTTTCCGGGATATCTTTAAGAGCTGATGCTACTATTCCTCTGCAAATATCTGCAGCATTCAGATCGTATCTTGCCATGGGTTATGCTCTGAGTACCTTTGAGGTAAAGGAAGGCTTTATGCAGATAGATGCAAAAACGTAATTGAGCATAGCTAGTGGCTGAATTATTCTATGTGTAAAACTGCATTTTTATCTTCTTTCAGCCATACTCTCAGAAGACAGAAATTCCAGTGAATCTGCCTGGAAGAATAAAATTTCTATATCTGCCCTAAACACTCCAGAGCCAGCAGTGATGCATGAGCCTTTAGTTGGCAGCCAGAAAAGGAAAGCAAGGAAAACTAAGATCACGCATCTTGTCCGAACAGCAGATGGTCGAGTGTCACCAGCAGGAGGGACACTGGGTAAGGAAATTGGAGTTTAAATTTTGTTGAAACTGAATGGTTGGAGAAGGTTTGGGAGGACAAGTAACCTATCAGGGAAGCATTTTTCAGTTATCTTGGTTTCATACCTGCTCAGAAAGGTAATTATTTAAAATACAGGTATCAATCAACTAGGAAATTGGTGAGCCCATAATGGCCAACTTCTTTTGTTTGAATGCCCAAATCTGTCTTCTTTCCCTGGATATTTATTTCTAAGAACTGAAAGCTGATAGAGAGAGAAATGAAAAATGGTTGTCTTTCATTATTTGTTTCTAGTCCAGTGAAGAAATTACACTGCACCTAGTTACAGGATGTAAAAATTAATTCCGTAGTATGACAGTCAATGCCACAGTCCTTGCAGCAGTCCTCTGCAGTTAAGATAATCTTTCAGGACTTCTGTATCTAAAACGTACACAAAAGTTCTCTTGCCTGACCTAAAAGATCAAACTCAGTTGAATGTAAAATCAGTAAACTGCTTCATAAACCTTAGTCCTGTGCTTCTGCCAGTAGCTTGGGTCAGAAGAGGTTGCAGCATGAATTGGATTACACTTGCAAAATCGAAGTCCTAAAGGTACAGATTATATTAACACCAGACTAGTCAGTGTATTGATGGGCTGCTGTGAATTTAAGGGCTAGATTTGCAAGCTTAACTTTATTTTATTGCAGAGGAGAAGCCAAAAGAGCTGCCACAAAGTACTCTTCAAAAAACATCAAGTGCAGAAACAGATTGCAACAGTGAATGCTCCAGAAATGCAGAGACAGAAGAAAATCATAGTATTACATCAGATATGCCAGCAGTGTCTGCATTTTTTAGCTTAGCTGCTCTGGCAGAAGTAGCAGCCATGGAAAATGTACACAGGTACGGTTTTCTTTTCCCCTTGTTGTCTAAGTGAATAGTATGTGGCTGCCAGCTTGTTCAGAAAGTGTGTGAATTCCAGTCTATTTAATTTGGCCTGTGTTTCCTCTTCCACAGCTTTCTGTGAATGTCTGGTTTACTTGCTTAGTAGTGTTAAGTCTGCACCTAAATGACAACATAATCTGTTTCAGTAGTGGTAAGCTTACCTACCAGTTTTTGTATATAAACAGTTCATATGCTCCTTGAGATCCTAATGATTTAGGGTTTCTAATTATCAGATGCCATTTGTCAGATAATAGCAGATTTAAATAGATATTGCATGTTGATTTGCATATTTCAGTGGCCTAAGACTGTGGAGAGAATTTCATGTAACTTCAGCTGAAGTTTTTGTGCTGAACATGGGCTGAAGGACGCTAACTTGTTATTTTTACTCTTGTGCTTTGCTGTGTAGGAGGCAAAGCATCTGCAGAATGGCATGAGGCAGAACAATTCTGGGTGATGGAAAGCCACGTTAGTTTGGGTTAGTCCTCTCAGTTACTGAGTAGACCATCCACACATAAAGTGGAGAATGTGCAGGTCACTTAGGGCTGTTGGACCAGTTCAGCGTGGTCAGATCCTGCATGCTAGAACTGTGATGGGAGGAAACCAATGACAGCAACTCCTCCTTGGCTCTTAATTATCCAGTGTTGTTCTTTGATGCTGCAGCTTATTGGAGATGAAACCCCATCCTTTCCTGCAGCGGAAAGTCAGTAAGGAAATGCTGGGCCGGTTTGAAACCATCACAGCCTGTGCAAATGGCATTTGAGAGATTGCTGGTTGCCTGAGAAACTCCACAAGGCAGCAGCTGATGAAACCATTTACAACCTCTTTGCTGTTGATCTCGTGGCCCCCGTTGGCCAACCCCATCCTGTGTGTTCAGGCTGCGCATCAAACATTGAAAGGCTTTTTAGAAGCTCAGGGGCCCTACAAGAAAAAAGGTCAGCTGAACCCAGCCTGCTCGCTTTTCTCTGCAGAAGCTGTTATCTTGCTTAAGCAACGCTGGTTTGGGTGAGAAGTGTTTTCCATGGCAGTCAGTATGGCCTTCCCTCCCAGCACTTGCAAAACAAGTGTCTGCTATCAAGACAGCAAAAGTCTGAACTCATTTCTGTCGTCTTCTGTGGTCAGGAGCCACGAAGTGAGACTTGGGGAAGTGCTGTGCTAAGCTCTGCTCTCACTCACACCCTTGTGTTTTCATTGATTTTCATTAACACTGACCGGAATTGCACAAGAGCAACAGGATTCACTTCACTGTGGTTCTTTCCTCTTTGTTCCTCTATGAGTTCTTGTCCTTCTCTTGTCCCTGTTGAAGTGAGCTAATGTTTTACTTAGCCTTCTGTTTGGGCCTTTCTTACTTACTCCCACCTTATGTCATGTTGTCGTGCAGCTAGAGCAATGCAGCACCTCCCATGAGGCCTGAAAACACCAAACCAGCAAATGTCCAGCAACTGTTGCAAATACCAGCTTGTCA